GCTGGGATTGAATTAGATACAATACAATTCCAGGCCCGATTGCCGATTGACAAAATCGAGAAATGTGTTTAATCTATAGCACGCTTTTTAATTCGTAAAAAGGTTACACTCAAAGAACTTCAGTCCTTAATTGGATTACTTAATTTCGCATGTTCCGTCATTATGCCAGGTCGCGCATTCCTGCGACGCTTAATTGATCTAACGCGTGGCATTTCACACCCTCATTTCTTTATTCGCTTACGCAAAGTGTGAAACATGATCTTCGTATCTGGCAAACGTTTCTGTCGAATTTCAACGGCAAATCATTCTTTTTGCACAACCATTGGCGTAATAACTCCCATTTGAATTTATATACTGACGCTTCGGGTAGTATTGGTTTTGGGGCCCTGTTTGGTTGCGACTGGTGCTATGGCGCATGGCCAATTGACTGGCGGAGTTACAATATTGCCGTTCTAGAGCTATATCCGATTGTCCTCAGCCTGTGTTTATGGGGATCAAAAATGCGCAATCATTGTATCTTGTTTCTCACGGATAATGAAGCTTTGGTGTCTGTTATTAATAAGCAAACATCAAAGGATTCTTATATCATGACACTCGTTCGCCGGATGGTTTTGGTTTGTTTAGAAAACAATATTTTATTCAAAGCAAAGCATATACCAGGTAAACAAAATGTCCTAGCTGATTGTTTGTCTCGTTTACAGCTCCAAAAATTTTCACAATTGGCGCCGGCCGACATGCATCGAGCTCCAACGCCTATTCCCTTTCACCTGCTGCCGGAAAATTGGCGACTATAGTTTCTCAATTAGCTCAAAGTAGCTTGCAACCTTCTTCAGTGCCGACTTATAAGCGGGCATGGGCACTTTTTGCGCAATTTCGTGTGGCAATTTTTAATGAGGGATCGTTCACTTTGCCTTTGTCGCCCTCAGTCGTCGCGTTATTCATAGCGTACTTATTTGACCTCAAGTACGCCTCTTCAACAGTTAATACTTATGTATCTGCACTGGGTTATACTCATCGCATGTCCGATCTACCGGATCCAACGAGAGTTTTCTACGTAACGCAAATATTGAAGGGGTATGGTAAGAAAGGCTTCCGCTTAGATAGTAGGTTGCCTGTAACTTTACCAATTCTCAATCGTCTTATTGAGGCTGCGCCTCATATTGCTGGGTCACCGTACCAAATATGTCAATTCCGGGCAATGTGCTCTTTAGCATTTTTCGCGTTCCTGAGAATTGGAGAAATAACTAAGAAGTCAAATAGCCAACCCCTTCAATTGCGACAACTCTCCAAACTATCTTCCGATGATGGCCGGGTTGCAGGCATAAGGTTGACTTTCGAGGATTTCAAGCACAATTATAACAGTAGAACTTTTAGTTTGGAAATTCACAGGCAAACGGCATGCTGTCCTGTTCGCTTATTAGAGGAGTACATGATTTTGCGAGGCGCCCAGCCCGGAGCTATTTTTCTATCACAACTGGGCATTCCAGTCTCATGTGACGAGTTTGCCAATCTTCTTAAAAAGGCTTTCCGCTTCTGTGGACTCGATACTTCCAAATATAAGTCTCATTCATTTCGAATAGGCGCCGCCTCCCACGCAGCTGAACACGGGCACTCGGATGCCCAAATTCGAACTATGGGGCGTTGGAAATCGAACGCATTCCTCAAATATATACGTTTTTCTTCCCTATCAACATAGTTTGGATGAATTTTCGAGCGGAAAACCTGCGGGGAGTTTTCTGCTCGAATTGCGCGGCTATTTTATTTCTTCCTCAGCTTGCACATGGTCAGCAAGGGCGATCGTTTGCATTCTGGGGGAGGAAATAAAGTGCTTATAACAGGGTGATGGAGAAGCTTCTTCTTGGCGCGGTAATGTTGTGACTCTGCTAAACTAATATCAGTTAAGTGTAGATTATCAGCAAAGGCGATAATCTATGCATTTTCACGGGCTTTGTAAATGCCTTTTTGCCCATGTTCGTTTATCAGGTCGCGCAGACCGCTGATCCTGTATTATTGTATTACGAAACTTTCTGCATGCATCCATTTCCTTGGGGTGGGGTCAACTTGCTTTGCTTCGTTGTTTTGGCGGTAATTTGCCTCCACCCTTTTCTGAGCGTAAATATTTGGAATTTTAATGCAATGTATTAATAAATATCGTTTTGTTTAACAGAAATAAAGCGGCTAGGAGAACCATTACTCCTAGCCAAAATTATCCCAAAACGGCGTAAAATTTAATGTGTCTTTATTATGCTCAGAAAACTGAGCTGCGGAAAGGGTATGCAAAATTCATGGCTGGCAATATATCTATATGCGTAAATAAATCACATTACATAAAACTCTTTTTAAAGTTTAAGCGATGATGTAAAGTCTTAAACGGTCGGTTAGCTCCTTGTAAAACGACATACCAAGCTCGTACTTGTCAAAAAAACAATGCATTCTTACAGCAAACAATGAATAGGCAAAATATAGACACCTACCACTTCAAATATTATAAACTACGAGTCGTTCCTATTTCACCAACTGTTTCTGTGCTGTGATGATCTTGAAATCTTTCATTATTGTTTTAATATTTGACTCCATGATTTTTAAAAAATAGTTTGAAAAATGACGGTTAAAATGCTGACGCTATCATTCATCACAGAGGAGAGATGGAGAGTCGACTCGCAGCTCCACGCGTCCCCACTTTTTTACTCGCGCGCGCTAGTAAGCGTTTACACCCGATTCCCTTCTGGTAAGCTTCGAGCACATTTTTAATAAGGAAAAATGGAATGTTTGCCAGTAAAAATGCAATTTAAAAAAATTTAACCGCTTTGGCTAAAATGTTCCAAACGTTTTTTGTAGTGTAAGGTAAGAGCTAAAATATATTTTCTTTATAGAAAGCCCAGGGATGATATGCTGGGTGAAAATTTGATCAAAAAAGTTTGAAAAATGACTGAAAAAGTGTGTAATCGAACAGCAACTCTGCTTGAGAAGTAAAGATACATAATTATGAATGTTTTCAGTGAATGTTTGTATCATCAAATGGTACTAATTATTAAAAAACTGATATCCTCTGCGAGTTAAAGTTATATAACGCCTAAAACTCTGTTTTGTCGTTATGTATTTTGTCGACATTTTAAAATTCAAACGCGAATTTCGAAGTTTTCTTTGAAATTCGTCCTATATTGTTATACTACAAATATGCAAACGCTCTGCTGCTAGTTGACAAACAGTAAAAAAGCAGCTATGACAACGATTCACTTTGGCAAACACAATTTGACAATTCGGGTAAAAATATGGCAGCCGACAAGGGTAATCAGAACTCACTTACAAAACAAGGATTTTGATATTGCTTTTAAAAACAGCACGATCATTTAAACCCAACAAAACAAACAACTCACCGTTCATCTCCACAATTTTAGTCCAAAAATGAAGATACAACTACCATGACCATTGAACGTCCATGACATTTTGGCAACTTTGGATTCCGCTATGTTCTCCCGGGTCCCGGGTGTAATTCCTAATCTCCGGGCGGAATTAGTACCCTCGCACGATTTCAAAATAAAAACCTGAAATTCCAAAGAAGTCACATGGCAATGTGCAAAAGTGTGGCTTCATTGACCTATTAAATCTTATTTATAGTACATCTAAATTAGGAATCCTCTTATTATTAGACCCAAATCTGTATGTTTATTGCTTTTCCAAGCAGTTGTACAACGCTATCCAACTTTCGTAAAGATGCAAACTCTCCCCCCTGATGCATGTATATTACGCTGACATTGAGCAGCGTATTCATTTTGAAATTCGTAATTCTTACTTCCTTACATACATTCTGTTGCCCCGTTCATCCATGGGTAGCCCGATAAAGATTTGAAATAGTAGAATTTGCTCCAGTCGCGCTATTATTGCTCTTGCCTCGCGACCACTATGACGTCACAGAACTCACAGCGAAATTGGAGTGAAGCGCAACTGAGGCAAATTTGACTAATTTAAATATTTACTGGAATTCCTATGGTCCATCGCTTGCGAATACATTACATTCAATGGTTATTTCTGTACTTCTGCTCGACAAATAAAAGTTTAAAATATAACCAACATCCCTTAGATGCAGTTGTGGCAGTCGATATATTTGCATCTCTTTGTATGTGTTCTGGAAATTGTGTCATCAACAGGACAAGGTAAGAATTAAACAATACTTACACCTGTTTACACTAGCTAAACGGGATTAGCATGACAATGAGCCCTCGGCATCAAAAATTGCTATGTCAAAGGAAATTTTACCCCCCAAAGTATTGTAGCCTGATCCAACCAAGCGTGGAATGACACGCATTCATCCGACCCTGATCTGAAAGGCCTATTCACACGATCCAATTTTTTGGCATCCTATCCACTTTTGACGTATGAAATATAGTCGGTTGTTAATAAAGCAGTACTGCATTGGCTTCAGTGAGTTTGCTGCTCATATACACTACAAGGCCTCAGACTATAAAACATCTATCAGAAATGAATTGGATCACACAAAATTGGATCTTTAACATAGTTTATACAACATAAAGTACGGTATGCAAAAAAACAAGCAAAATTCCGCTATAAAACAAAACTTTTCTTCAAGAATGCAGTCTGCGGAGTCAATTTTAAACATTTAAATGACTTTTATTTTGTAGTTTTAACTAATATATATTGTAAGTAACTTAATTATAAATTTTATGCATGTAGTTACATTTGGGTTCCTAAGTTCAACCTACACCGTTGGTGAGGCAGATGGTAAATTGCGAGTTTGTCTTGGTGTTGACAATTTTGATGGAAGAGTCTTTTTAGGAAAGTGAGTAAATTTCGTTGTTCTTTTTCTTTATATTAGTAAGCACATCCGGGTAGCGGACGGAATACTTTGTTATTGAATCATCCATGCAATATTGTTAAAAATTATATACAATTGATTTCTTTCTTTTTCACTCTCGTACTGTAATTTCAAAGTGAATAGTCCTCTTTCTCAACATCTTTGATCTTTAGATGAAAAATATCAGTTTTGATTACAATAATTAATAAATCGCTAAATCTGTACAACCAAGATATGCTGCTAATTTTGTGTCTATCGGTTTAATGTGTTTATCATAAATATTTTAAGATTAACATTCAGAAATAGCACTGCAACAAGCGGAGAAGATTACTCAGATGATGAGAAATTTGTTGGAATACTAAGTTTTATTCAAACAACACATTGCGTTGATATTTTGATAATTGATGATAACAGTTATGAAGGCAACGAAAATTTTACAGTTGTTTTGACGTTAAATAACAATCCCAACGTTCAAATTATACTGTTGGGGAAGCGACAGTGACTATCACAGATGATGACGGTAATGATTTGAGATGTATTTTCTATTTATTAAAGCTACTGACATTTTTTTAGTGTGCAACACAAGTGCAGATAGCACAGCATTTCTTTATTTGTTCACTATTGATTCATAAAAATTCACATCGCCATTCGTCGGCACTGTTTTTGTCGGTGGTTATTGATGCGTAAAATGCTTTGTCTATCTTAAAAAAATATTTTCTTCATTGGTCACTCATAATGGGTCGTAGACATCGCCGACGACAAAGAATTATTGCAATTGAATCTATATTTCTAATTTCCTTGGCCCTACAGTGAAAGAAAATTAAGATTTGCATCAGAATACTTATTATATGTGGAATGAATTTTGTTTAAATATAGTATAACCAAAGGCGATGTATGTATTTGCCTACTTCATTATTGGCGAGTGCGTACAATTTTTTCTTAAATGTTAATACAGATCAATTTGAAAACGATATGCTTTTAATGTACAAAAACATGTCGATGCATCAAAACATAGTTATTACCGTTCAGTTTCTTTGTAATTTTGTTATAATTTACAGAAGTTAGATATTCTTTCCGAAAGATTTGAGAATGTCCTGAGTGTAAAAATATGCGGATTATGTTTTGAATCTCACTCCAACATTTCGACTCCATCTTCAAAGAAGATATAAACAAATTGCCGCTAAAATGACATACGACAATTTTTCACGTGTGAAGAATATCGTACGTCCAATCAAAAGCTGTGTATGTTATTTTTTACACGAGGTTTTTTTTATGGCAATAGCAAAATATGGGAAAATTGAAGGAAATATAAATACTACAGTTATAAATTAATAAATTCTTATGGAACATTGTTTTGTTAAATATTTTTTAGATTTCGACGAGTGTAGTGCAGGTTCCCATAATTGCCATCAGAACGCCTACTGTAACAATACTGATGGTTCTTTCAATTGTACATGCAAAAATGGCTACTCGGGGAATGGAACGGACTACCAAGGTATGACTCGATCCATAAAATTATTTTCTGATTGTGTAAACATACTCGGAAATGATGAGACGGAACGTTTTTTTAACGACGGAGACTTGCAAAGAGTTCGAGTTTCGACGAAATTTGAATTAAATAATAAATTTTTCTTATATACATTCTTTCGGTAATAAACTATTACAGATGACGATGAATGTAATTCGGGGTCTCACAATTACCATGAAAATGCCAACTGTAAAAATACTGATGGCTCTTTCAATTGTTCATGCAAAAGCGGCTACTCAGGGGATGGAATTGACTGTGAAGGTTGGCCGTAATTCAAAGAAATCTCAAGACAAGTCAGTTCGTGAACACCTGGATTTAGCTGAGGTGAATTCATGGAAAAAGTAATGCTAACGAAGTGTAATAGAAGACGTATATAGTATTCCTTAAACAGTGAAACTACGAATTGTCGCCGTAGAAATATATCAGTGCTACGGTGAATATCAGTGCAATGTCTCTTAATTTCCCAAATTAAACTTAATCAAGTGTTTTACCTCCGAAGTGTTGGACGATAGCTTCGAAGATGAATCATTATCTTCAGTCTTCTCTTTTCTTTCTATTGTATTTACTCTCATGTTTGTTTCATATGGTTTGTTTCAAAGTAAATTTTATTTCAAGCATTTGAAATTAATTCAAATACTTGATTACTCTTGCTGATCGGATCACATGGTAAATCATCCTTATTTCGTAATATAACCAACCTAGGTTGTCACTTGTTTCGAATTCTGTCTCAACTCGATCTGTTGAAAACTTGTCACACTTCCTCACGAGCTAAACAAATGCATTGCATTCTCACGAGCTAAACAAAAATTAATGCATTGCATTCTCACGAGCTAAACAAATGCATTGCATTCTCACGAGCTAGACAAATCCGATAGTAATCTGGTATATAAACGGGTAAACAGGACCGAAATGTTTGGCATTCACATTTTCCAGAACATTGCAGGAATCATACTGTCCCAACAAAGAACACACACCCGACTTGATGCTTCAAAGTTGCCTGCCAACGCCCCTTGAGAACAAAGTAGCTTCTTATTGTTTTTAATTGGATGGAAATTAGAACTATTTGCATGCTTAAAAACAAAAAGTTCAAAAGAAAGAATTTAAGGCTAGTTCCTAGTTGTTACATAAGTAGAAGAGTTATATGCATACGCCTTATAAAGTGTCTAATTCAAAACAAGGAGATTTAGAATGCATCCATTGTTATGCCCACATTCCAACTCTGGGGTGTTCATAATGATAAAAATCTGCAATTTTTATTCCTTCGAATTCTAATCCGACATTATCTGCTCGTTCTACAAGATCCGAGTCTTCTCCACCCCACCGTGTGGTAAACTTCACCTCATCAAATCCATCAATTGCAAAAGTCTTCCAATCTGTCTTGTATGCACTAAACATTCCGTATCCCCAGGGATCCCAAGCTCCATGCAAGTATCGCGGTGAAGCACCACATGATAGCCTTGCTAGGATGACGGTGAAAACCATTTTACCTTTAATGCAATGCTGAAGTAAATTAGTTGTGTCAGATTGGGTAAACACTGAACATTAAACATTATTTTATAGGTGGCTATCACAAACCACTATTTTTAGTTTGATACAAAGGCTCGTACGGATAAGCCATGCAATAGTTTCTAGAAGCGTTGGTATGAACAAAAAGTCACCGTAGCAACGGTAGCATAGCTAATTTTAAGATCACTGCACATATCTTCATAATAGTATAGTGGAGAGAGGCGTGACAAAAATGGTCCTAACTGAAAATTGGTAATTTAAGGTCTGCAGGACCTCTTGCAGAAAATTGTGTGTATTTTTGAGTTCCTATGACTTGATTTCCAGCATTTTGGGGGATAACTACTTTTGAATCCACCTACGCAGAGTGAGGTTTGTTGAGAAAATACCATTTATCACTGCACATTTCTCATTTTATCTCTGCACACTCGACTTTTATCACTGCACAATATGGTTATCACAGCACACTAAAATTAGGTATGATTGTCGGACACACAAGAATCGATCTTTCACTGTAAAGACAGCGGGAGAGTGCAGAGTGTCTAAAGCCCCATTTACACTACACTCGATTTATTGGCACGGCACGACTAAAATGGGTACCCGTGCTCACTTCATCCGTGCCCGGCCATTGTTTTGGTACCCTGAGCACTAGTAAAATTGGGCACGGGTACCCATTTTAGCCGTGCCGTGCCAATAAATCGAGTGTAGTGTAAAGCCCCGTTTACACTACAATGAATTTATCAGCACGGCACGGCTAAAATGGGCACCCGTACCCAATTTTATCAGTGTTCAGGCTACCAAAATAAAGGCCGAGTACAGATGAAATGGGTATCGGTACCCATTTTAGCCGTGCCGTGCCAATAAATCGAGTGTAGTGTAAAGCCCCGTTTACACTACAATGAATTTATCAGCACGGCACGGCTAACATGGGTACCCGTACCCAATTTTATCAGTGTTCAGGCTACCAAAACAAAGGCCGAGTACAGATGAAATGGGTATCGGTACCCATTTTAGCCGTGCCGTGCCAATAAACTGAGTGTAGTGTAAACGGGGCTTAAATGGGGCTTAAGACTAAGTTCATTGTAGGACCGATCCTTATATAAGGCGATGTTACACAGTGCAGTTTTTCTTACAACTTGTAATGCAATTCTACTTTTAAGAGATGTAAATTAGTGACGATTTTTGAAAATGCAAGTGTAAGATACGCCATGGAGTGTAATAAAGCCATCTCTTAAAAGAAGAATTGCATTGCAGGTTACAGGAAAAATCGCACCGTTTTGCAGGGTCTTTAATTTATTTTAAACCTCAAACTCACATCCCTCTCATCGGCCGTGGTAAGACTAAGCCAGTCTTATTTACCAGCCTGAATCTATCTCAAAATCTAAAATAGCCTAAAAGCACGGAAATGGCAGTTGGATACAACTAAACTATACCCTCACTTATTTTCTATAATTTTTCGTTTGACATTTCTCGTGCATCGGTTACAGTCTTGAAGCTCGGTCTTCAACCAATCGAAAGTGTTCTTATATCCAATTTAGCATAGGTTTAGCACTAACCCTGTGTTAAATTTAACCATAAGCAGCCCAATGGCGAATTGTTTTATTTGAAATAAAAGTGTTTGTTTCTGTTTTTGTTCTCGCGGTTGTGACAGCCAATTAGATAACAAATTCGTCATTTTCAAACGTTCTCAAAAGTCAACAGTACGGGTCCAGCAACGTCCCATTCAAAAAATGAGTAAAATATCAAAAGCTTTTCGCATTTTTCTCGCTTCCATAATTTGTTTTCAATATTAAAATAGCCAGTGGTAGTGGTAGTAAACCTTTATTTAAATAGAGTAGTCCTGTGAGCCACAAGAGTCACTGCTATCAATAGGAGCTCCGGTATACAAATAAGATAATACATAATTTATATACATATGCATGAATATATGCTGGTTTTCTTGACCAGTTCAGCTCCTCGTGTGTATGGCGAACAAGTTTTTTTTGACAAGTTTTTCTTGACAAGTTTTACGCCGGTAATATATATGTCGAGTATATTTACAACAATATGATTAAATGACTGTCAAATGAGTATACGATCGAATCTCAAAACAAACCGCAAAATGATAAAACTTCTAAAAACCGCTCATGCAGTTGGCTCAAAGATCTTGTTGCGCAGTTTCCTACTTGAAAAGCAGGCTTGACCAGCTTTTGAACAAGCCTCCTTGTCAAGGGAAACTTGTCAATTTTTTCGCGTACACACGAGTAAATAGAACTTGGCAAGGAAAACTAGTCAGGAAAACTTACCCGTCTGTATAATTTGTGATAATTCGTAATTCACCGATATGTCATATAATTTGTTGTAATTCGGTTTTCATATGTCCGATTTCGCTATTTTCGCTTGAAAACGAACTACGAGAAGTGGATTATACGACGAATTATGACATATAAAAAACAGTCCTAAAATTTGTATATAAACAAGCAATAAGATTTTTATTAATCAATGCTATATGATATCGTAATATTTAAGGCGATGAACACTCTTTGTTCTTAGGTCAGCTCAAGCCTCAGCATTCGTAATCGTAATTATGGCTAATATCTCAAATTTATGATTTCAACTCGATTTATTCGACTATTATTCGAAAAACAACGAATAATTCTATCATATTCTTAAATCACAGAAGTATGATAAATTTCACAGGCATTTAAAAGCTGTTTGCAAACAATGTTTGGCCTTTTTGAATCCAACCTGTAAGGCGGAGCAAACGCGTAACAGTAATATATTGGAAAATGAATAATTTTCTATAGATGTTTTAGAGAATTGACAACCTCCTGTTGCCTATCTACATAAATTAGCTTTAAAGTATTCAAAATATTATCTTCTTATAATTGTATACACCAAACTATATCGTGGAGGAATCGTCAATGCGGTAAAAATTCTTTAAAAGTATCTATGCTTCAGTAGGGTGAATATTTTGATTATCAAGGTAAGTTCTGAATATATATTCGCTGTATAATGGGTGGTATAATCATAAATAAAGACTAGTTTAATTATACCAGCATATCGCTATCAACCTTCCGCATTTGATCTATATTGTAAACGGAAAAATAAGACTCACATTAACCATGTTTAATTTACTGTACATAGTCAATAGGTGCATGTTAGTCGATACGAAAGACCGTTGTAAACTCTTGAAAGCAGCCTGGTGATTTCGCTGTCGTGTTTGTTTCTTTTCGACGATAAGCGTCGACATAAACAAACGTGTTGACAACTTTAATCTATAAAACAAGACGCGTGTTCTGGCGTTAACTCCGGCGCACGTGCCAGTCTTCAATATAGAGCTTCTGGTTAGCTTCTGAACATAAACAATGAGTTAATATTCGCAATTAGATGCCTTGCGAACCTAAATGTTCGATCGCGAAATTCAGAAGCACATCGTACTTTAAAAAGTACAGAAGTTCAATTGTTGAAAAATGTAAATAAACCGCATGATACAATCGCTTTGTCTTACACTTTGCAAACTACAACGTGTCAACGGCGCCCATCACGACCACATCATCTTGTTAATTAAACGGCGAAATAGCAGCGATATTATTAGAATAGGACCAGAATCTACATGTATTAAATGTATTCTTACCCCAATTCAATCTAAACTTAGTCGAAAAGCATGAAAGAACTGTTTATTTGTTCCTCTTGGAGGAATTGCCGTATCATGCGAGCGAAATCGAATCGCGCATCGGAAAATTAGCCAAAGCTGTGCACCACAACTCTTGGGAGATAAGACTGGGAGATAAATAAATACGGTTACATACACATTTCAAATACTAGAATGTTTCGCGCCATTTCAGACTTGCGACGACGAAAAATAAAAAAAAAACAACAACAAAACAAAACCGGGGCGAATTTTCATTTTTCAACTCCGTCGCTGGCGCCGGAGTAATAAAAGATTTAAAGTAAATCAAAGCCTTCTTATCAAATTTGGCATCATCTAAACAATAATTCTTCCGTCGAATATTGTACTCTATTGCTCAAATATTGTACTCTATTGCTGTCTGTAATTTTCCTTATATGTCATGACAAACTTAATTATATTTTCGAAGGAGTTACAATGAACTCTACATAATTATAAAGACAAATTTTCATTTCGTCGTTATAGCTACCTTTCGGAAACACGATGTGTGGGTGATTAAGCGGCTGTTTTACATATCCGATGCAGTTAGCCGAGATTAAACACAGCTTGAGATTACGTATACGTTGAGCCGGGTGCTGAAATGAGCAAATAACATGCATGATTCTGACAGTAATTAGTCATCCTGACAATAACATGTTCTTGTATGGTTTCCTAAATTCTTATTTCAATACCTCAAAGTCGTCTAACGCTTTGTTGAATCACAGCTAGCTTTTTAGAATTGCAAATCCGTTGTATTATTTTCGGACAAACAAAGCATTTTTCGCACTAGTGCCATCAGACAGAGGGGACCCAGTTGCTTATTTAGGACAAGTACCATGATACCATGCAGGCTTAATAGATAGATTATAATAGTTTACATCTCTCAAAATAAATAATATGAAGTAGCTCGAAACTTGGAGCTAAAAGATGGTGGAGATTAGAGAAGGAGTTATAAAATTAAAGTTCATTTTCAATCCTACGTTCCCAGCCAAATATTTTTCATAATTTAAGCAAAAGTTATGGTCCTTCTAGAATTAAAGTAATTCCGAAAAATGATAGCATTATACAAAAATTTTTTCTGTATTTTTCGAATCAAGATCGATTAATCTTCAGCAGAATGGGTATACGTTTACAAGATTTTGCTTTACGTAACTAGTGACGCAAAATCTTGTAAACGTAAGAGTAACGATTGAAATTTGAGGAAAATAAGAGTAAAATTTGTTCCAGTCGCACTATTATTGCTTATAATTATATGCCTTGCGACCACTATGACGTTATTGAACACAAACGAAACTGGAGTGGAGGGCAACTGAAGCAATTTTGATTATTTCAAATATTTTCTATTCCTATTGTTCATCGCTTGCAAATACAGTACATTCAATGATTATCTCTGTACTTCTGCTCGACAAATGAAAGTTTGAAATATAACTAACTTCGCTTAGATGCAGTTGTGGCAATCGACATATTTGCATCTCTTTGTATGTGTTCTGGAAATTGTGTCATCAACAGGACAAGGTAAGAAAAAAACAATATTTAGACCTGTTTACACTAGCTATACATAGGATTAGCATGACCATGAGCCCACGGCCATCAAAAATTGCTATATCAATTATTGGAAGATTTACTCCCAAAGTATTGTAGCCTGATCCAACTAAGCGTGGAATGACACACGTTCCCTGATCCGTTAAGGTCTCTTCGCACGACCCAATCTTTTTGCATCCAATCCACTTCTGACGTATGAAATATAGTCGGTTATAAATAAAAAGTACTGCATTGGCTTCATTGGGTTTGCTGCTCATAGACATAACAAGACAACAGACTATAAAACATCCATCAGAAGTGAATTGAATGCTACAAAATTAGTTCTTAAAAACAGTTTATACAGCATAAAGTATGGTATGCAAAAAACAAGCAAAAGTGTGCGGAGTTAATTTTAAACAATCAAATGACTTTTATGTTGTAGTTTTAACGAATATATATCGTAAGTAACCTAATCATAAATTGATGCATACAGTTACATTTGGATTCCAAAGTTCAAACTACACCGTTGGTGAGGCAGATGGTAAATTGCAAGTTTGTCTTGGTGTTAGCAATTTTGATGGGACTTCCTTTTCAGGAACGTGAGTAAATTTTCTTTATAATAATTTTAAGCACATCCGGGTAGCGGACGGAATACTTTGTAATTGAATTGTCCATGCAATATTGTTAAAAATTTTATTCAATTTATTTCTCTTTTTTTCACGCTCGTACTGTAATTTCAAAGTGAACAGTCCTCTTTTTCAACATCTTTGATCTTTAGATGAAAAATATCAGTTTTTATGACAATGATTAATAAATCGATCAATCTGTGCTATAGATAAATAGTGCTATTTCTCAACTTGTTTAATCTTTAGATGAAAAATATCAGTTTTGATGACCATACATCCATAAATCTGTACAACCAAGATATGCAACTGATTTTGCGCCTATTGGTTTAATGTGTTTATCATAATTATTTTAAGATTAACATTCAGAAATGGCAGTGCAACAAGCGGAGAAGATTACTCAGATGATGAGCAAACTGTTGGAATACAAAGTTTTATTCACATAGCTGATTGCGTTGATATTTTGATAATTGATGATAAAAGTTATGAAGGCAACGAAAATTTTACAGTTGTTTTGAAATTAAATGACCCCAACGTTCAAATTACTATTGGCGAAGCAACCGTGACTATCATAGACGATGACGGTAAGAAATTTCAGATGAATTTTTGTATAATTACTGACATTTTTGTAAATGCAGATATAATAAAGTCCAGATGCTGGATTTCTTTATTGTTCACTTTTGATTCACGAAAATATGCAAGGCGGCTAGGGAAAATACATCTCGATAGGAAAAACAAAATGCGTAAGTTCTCTACACTATACGGAGGGTTATTATGAGTTCAAAGCACTTTGCTAGTCTATAATTCTTATTATTTTCGTAATTATGGGCAGGTTATATAAACCTTCTTATGCTTGCATATATTTCTACAAATGTTATCCACGGTTTCATAACTAAAATTGTAATGCCCACTGTAGATCACTTTTTCAGATTCCAGAATTTTCAAGGAAAAAAACTTCATTCTTCCGTTAAATATTCTTTTCAGATATCGAATGTAATACAGATTCTAATAATTGCAATTACAGTACCTACTGTAACAATACACATGGTTCTTTCAATTATTTATGCAAAAACGGCTTCTCAGAAAAGGACTATATAAATAGTATATGTAATAAAAAATTTCGTATACATTTTTCCTTTCATTAATTATAACCCAAAGATGAATCTAGCGCGATTTTTTATAATAAAAAATCCTAACCCTTTCGTTTAATATTTTTTCAGATATCGACGAATGCATTGCTGGCTCTCATAATTGCCATCATAACGCCTACTGCAATAATACTGATGGTTCTTTCAATTGTTCATGCAAAAGCGGCTACTTGGGAAATGGAACTGACTGTGAAGGTTAGCCGTATGTAAATATTAGAGACGATGTAATTCTAACTTTGCACAGTTCAAAACTTTGAAGAAATTTTAATTATCCTGTTCATTTTTCAAAGAGATATAAATATATAACAACCCTCTAATTTTTGTTATTTATTCATTAACATATCGATGAATGTGGTGTGAGTTCTCATAACTGCCATAATTGAATCTATATTTCTAATTATCTGGGCTCAAATTAAGTCCATCATAGGAAATGAAAATTTCGAATTAGAATTAGAACTTCCTCATGCACATATTTCTACGGATGTTATACACTTTTTCACAACCCCCATTGTAATGCCTGCTTGAAAAAACTGAGTTCTCTTCGATGGCATTTTCAAAATATCAGAATTATTAGGAAAACATGAACACTATAATTATAAAAAAAATTCTAATCCTTAATCAAATATTTTTTCAGATGTTGACGAATGCATTGCAAAATCGCATAATTGCCATCATAACGCCTACTGCAATAATACTGATGGTTCTTTCAATTGTTCATGCAAAAGTGGCTACTTCGGAAATGGAACTGTCTGTGAAGGTTAGCCGTATGTAAATATTAGAGACGACATAATTCTAACTTCGAACAGTTCAAATTTTTGAAGAAATTTTAATCAGTTTGTCGATTTTTAGAACAGATATAAATTACTACGCTCTAACTTTCGTTAATATTTCATTCAGATATCGACGAATGTGGTGTGAGCTCTCATAATTGTCATTACAACGGCTGCTGTAACAATACTGATGCATCTTTCAACTGCACATGTAAAAAAGGCTACTTAGGAAACGGAACAGACTGCCGAGGTTTGCCGAAAATATTTCATGAATTACTGCATTTGAATATATATATATATATATATTGGTTGGGCTCGAAATTCGATAAGAGAAAATGAAAATTTTTAATTAGAATATTTCGCTCTTATAGGCAGAATATTTTGTATAAACTTTCTAATGCACATATCTCTACGAATGTTATGCATGGGTTCACAACCTCCATTGTAATGCCTGCTTCAGAAAACTGAGTTTTTTTCGGCAAAATATCAGAATTAGGTGGAAAATATTAACACTATAATCATAAAAAATTCTAACCTTTTCGTTTAATATTTTTTCAGATGTCGACGAATGCATTGCAGAATCTCATAATTGCCATCATAACGCCTACTGCAATAATACTGATGGTTCTTTCAATTGTTCATGCAAGAGCGGCTACTTTGGAAATGGAACTTACTGTGGAGGTTAGCCGTACGTAAATATTAGAGACGATATAATTCTAAATTCGTACGCTTCAAAACTTTGAAGAAATTTTAATTATCCTGTTCATTTTTCAAAGAGATATAAATATATAACTACGCTCTAACTTTTGTTATTATTTTATTCAGATATCGATGATTGTGGTGTGAGTTCTCATAATTGCCATGACAATGCCTACTGTAACAATACTAATGGATCTTTCAATTGTACATGTAAAAATGGCTACTCAGGAAATGGAACTGACTGCCGAGGTTTGCCGAAATTATTTCATGAATTACTGCATTTGAATCTATATTTCTCTTTTTTTGGGCTCGAAAGTCGATGTAACAAAATGAAAATTTTTAATTAGAATATTTCACTCTTATAGGCAGATTATTTTGTATAAACTTTCTAATGCACATATCTCTACCAATGTTATACATGGGTTCACAACCTCCATTGTAATGCCTGCTTCAGAAAACTGAGTTTTTTTTGGCAAAATATCAGAATTAGGAGGAAAATATGAACAATATAATCATAAAAAATCCTAACCCTTTCGTTTAATATTTTCTCAGATGTCGACGAATGCATTGCAGAATCTCATAATTGTCATCATAACGCCTACTGCAATAATACTGACGGTTCTTTCAATTGTTCATGCAAGAGCGGCTACTTAGGAAATGGAACTGACTGTGAAGGTTAGCCGTACGTAAATATTAGAGACGAAATATTTCTAAATTCGCACGCTTAAAAACTTTGAAGAAATTTTAATTATCCTGTTCATTTTTCAAAGAGATATAAATGTATAACTACGCTCTAACTTTTGTTATTATTTCATTCAGATATCGACGAATGTGGTGTGAGTTCCCTTAATTGCCATAATTGAATCTATATTTCTAATTATCTGGGCTCAAATTAGGTCAATCATAGGAAATGAAAATTTTGAATTAAAATATTTCGCCCTTTATATAGTCAGAAGATTTTGTATAAACTTTCTCATGCACATATCTCTACGAATGTTATGCACTGTTTCACAAACTCCATTGGAATGCTTTCTTGAAAAAACCGAGTTCTCTTCGATGGCACTTGCAAAACATCAAAATTATTAGAAAAACATGAATACTATAATTATAAAAACAATCCTAATCCTTATTCAAATATTTTTTTAGATATCGACGAATGCATAGCAAAATATCATAATTGCCATCATAACGCCTATTGCAATAATGCCGATGGTTCTTTCAATCGTTCATGCAAAAGCGGCTACTTCGGAAATGGAACTGATTGTGAAGGTTAGCCGTATGTAAATATTAGAGACGATATAATTCTAACTTCGCAAGGTTCAAAACTTTGAAGAAATTTTAATTAGTTTGTTGATTTTTAGAACAGATATAAATTACTACGCTCTAACTTTCGTTAATATTTCATTCAGATATCGATGAATGTGGTGTGAGTTCTCATAATTGTCATTATAACGGCTACTGTAACAATACTGATGGATCTTTTAATTGTACATGTAAAAAAGGCTACTCAGGAAACGGAACTGACTGCCAAGGTTTGCCGAAAATATTTCATGAATTACTGCATTTGAATCCATATTTCAATTTTTTTGGGCTCCAAAGTCGATGTAAAAAAATGAAAATGTTTAATTAGAATATTTCGCTTTTATAGGCAGAATATTTTGTATAAACTTTCTCTTGCACATATCTCTACGAATGTTATGCATGGTTTCACAACCTCCACCTTAGTGCCTACTTTAGAAAACTGAGTATTGTCGTTGGCAATTTCAAAATATCAGAATTTTGAAGGAAATATGAATACTATAATTTAAAAAAAAAATTAACCCTGTCGTTAAATATTTTTTCAGATATCGATAAATGTGCTGCTAGTTCACATAATTGCCATCATAACGCCTACTGTGACAATTCTGATGGTTCTTTCAATTGTACATGTCAAAATGGCTACCTCGGAAATGGAACTGACTGTGAAGGTTAGCCGGACGTAAATATTTGAGACGATATAATTCTAATTTCGCACGCTTTAAAACTTGGAAGAAATTTTAATCGCCCTGTTCATTTTTAAAAGAGTTATAAATAACTACGATCTAACTTTCGTTAAGATTTCATTCAGATATCGATGAATGTGGTGCGAGTTCTCATAACTGTCATCACAACGCCTACTGTAACAATACTGATGGTTCTTTCAATTGTACATGTAAAAAAGGCTACTCAGGAAATGGAACAGACTGCCGAGGTTTGCCGAAAATATTTCATATAAATTACTGCAAATGAATCTATATTTCTGATTTTCTGGGCTCAAAAGTCGATCAAAGGGAATTAAAATTTTGAATTAGAATATTTCGCTCTTATATAGGCAGAATATTTTGCATAAACTTTCCCTTCCACATATCTCTATGAATGTTATATTGCATGGTTTCATAACATCCACTCTAGTGCCTGCTTCAGAAAACTGAGTATTGTCGTTGGCAATTTCAAAATATCAGAATTTTGAAGGAATTATGAATACTATAATTGTAAAAAAAGTTGACCTTGTCGTTAAATATTTTTTCAGATATCGATGAATGTGCTGCTAGTTCACATATTTGCCATCATAACGCCTACTGTAACAATTCTGATGGTTCTTTCAATTGTTCATGCAAAAGCGGCTACTTCGGAAATGGAAATGACTGTGAAGGTTAGCCGTATGTAAATATTACAGATGACACGATTCTAACTTCGCACAGCCCAAAACGTCGACGAAATTTTAATCGCTCTTATAATTTTTCAAAGAGATATAAATTACTACACTGTAACTTTTGTTATCATTCCATTCAGATATCGATGAATGTGGTGCGAGTTCTCATAATTGCCATGGCAACGGCTACTGTAAATACTGATGGTTCTTTCAATTGTGCATGTAAAAATGGCTACTCAGGAAACGGAACTGACTGTGAAGGTTAGCCGTACGTAAATATCAGAGACGACATAACTCTAACTTCACACGGTTGAAAAGTTCGAAGAAATTTTAATCGCCCTGTTCATTTTTTAAAGAGATATAAATTATTTCGCTCTAACTTTCGTTATTATTTCATTAAGTTACCGACGAATGTGGTGCGAATTCTCGTAATTGCCACGACAATGCATACTTGTAATAGTACTGATGGTTCTTTCACTATAATTATAAATATAATTATAAAAAAATCCTAATCGTTAATTAAATATTTTTCAGATATCGACGAATGCATTGCAAAATCTCATAATTGCAATCATAACGCCTACTGCAATAATACTGATGGTTCTTTCAATTGTTCATGCAAAAGCGGCTTCTTGGGAAATGGAAATGACTGCCAAGGTTAGCCGTTTAAATTGTAATGTCTCTTTTATAGCTTGCTTTCATTAGTTTCATATTTAAAAAGTAGCTTGTCATGACGAGCTCTGTTTTCTGTGCTCTAAAATCTCGTATACAATAAACAACTCTAACACAGAGTTGGAATAATTTTGGCAATGTGCGTAATTCTATAACGCACATGCCGATTTATTAATTATTATTATATAACATGCAGTGTTTTTTACTGACGAATCCGCCACTTTGAAAAGCGATAATAACACACGTGCGATTATTCATGATAATAACACATGTGCGATTATTGTGTTTGATCTACCGATCTGGAATCAGGAAGGCGGATAAAAAACTTTTCAAAAAAACCCAGTTTTTTATCATCCCACCAAGGTGGGATGTAACGAAATAAGTACAAAGTGTGCAGTAGGTCAAGACCACATGCACGAAAAATCAAAGCCGAATCAGCAGTGTTAATGCTTGACCAACGAGTGTACGAAAAATCAGATAAACCACGACGCGCAAAATATTCAAGTAATGTCTGTGCAAGATAAATCTGAACAGCGATGAAGTGTAAAAGAAACATTAATGAAACATCAACAAAAATTAAGTATGGAGCCTCAATGCCGTGCGATAGGTAGAGATTGACGATGGCTGCACACCAGATTGAATTAACTGCGAGGTAATAGCGGCCAATGGTTTGGTTGAAGGTAAGACCGTATGACTGTTGGTGTTGGACGAACGCCCACCGGAGTTAGCCGTTTGAACTTCGAAGGCCTACAAGCAAAATAAGGAGTCAGTCAAAACATTTCTAACCTCCCCCCCCCGTTAAATGGCGAGCGCGAAAGAGAATATCAAATTGTAAACAAGCGAGCACCAGGCGGCGAACAAAAGTTTTGCAATTGTCGGGCCAGGCACCGTAATACCACTCAAAACCAAAAAGCGCGCCGTAGCCTACCTAGCCTAGCCGCAGACTCGGTGTACAGGTTACGGTTAGCAGAGTCATGCAAAACAACTGCCAAAGTTCGAGATCTGCCTTAACAGACTAAGTAAGGCGAATGAAATGATGATCACACACCGTACCCCTGTGGTCTCCTACCTGGTGCGGAGCACCGTACGTGCGAGGGTTCTAATTCCACCTGAAGATTAGGAATTACACCCGGGTATTCTTTTTTAACAATTTACGAACTTCTGAAATCCAATGAAATAATGCATTCGTGTATGATTCGAACCAAAAGCCGGTATCAGGCAACTTGCATCCCGCATAGTCACAGCGAAAAATTCAGGAAACTTGTAAAAAGATTGCTGATTTTTCTGACACTTCCAGTGTCGTTTACGACAAAAAAAATGGCTAGTAGTTTAGCAAAGATATCTTAATTTACCTCTATGCAGTTTTTTGTGTTCTTTGCTGCTTAGTTCCAAAGTGTTTTTTTTTACTATTTCTCCCAAGGTACGTGTTGGCTTGGAGAGAAATTGCCAACCTTGTCAATATATAATACAGTAATTAGTACAGACAGTATAAGCTCACCGCGCGCGTACACAATAATGTAGTCGAAAACTGAGTACAAGCTGATTTCTGGGCTGCCTATGGCAAAACAAGCGCGTCGTCACCTTGTTGACGACGTACTTTCACAGATTTTACGGCGTCGTAAATTTTTATTTGGATTCTGGTATTTTTTGTTGATATGGCTGAACTTGTACCTTCAACAAGCAAGAAGTAAGTAAATAATTATTCACTTATATGAATTCTGAAAAACTATTCGTTGATATTTCATTCAAAACGGAAGTGGAGAGCTGGAGAGGTGAACCGGAAGTTTGCGATCTGATCAGGACATCAGGTATTAAATAAACATTGTTTACATTTTGGTTTGCTTGTATATCGATAAACTTGCAGCAGTTTTTTACTTTCTTTTCGTTAAAACACACACGGAACTTAGCTCGAAAAATGCGATATGATTATAAAAGGCCTTTATCTTATTATGTTTTCTTTAATTTTTATGTGTATTGCTAAAATAGCAATGCACATAAAAAGAAAACATAGCGTTTTAAATACATCTATATAGTCATAGCATTTCTATTCACATTTATTCCTTGTATATTTGTATAGGTTTGCGAAAGCTCCGATTATGTCATGGACATCGTTTTCCTTTTACAATATTTAATGTATAGTGATTATATTATTGCTGTGAATAAATACTGTAGAAAGAAAATACGACAATAAACAAATATCGTATTGTTGGGTTTTCAAAACGTACTATTTTCATTAAAACAAGTAACAACTTACCAACAGGCCCATAATTTTATAAATTAGCTATCATCGGCAAACATTGTCATTGATCTGATTTATAGAGACGGCTTATCCGTCTGGAGGAATAAACATAGATAAATCTGAATATAAACATATAAGGCAAACTATCTAGGCGAACTATATATAGACGAATATTTCATACGGAACAGACTGACGAACATGCATGGCAGGGAAATCCAAATTCAAAATAATGGAAAAAATTTAATTAGTCTGATAAAGGAAAATTAAATTAATATTTTTTGTGGTAAAAAGAGTGCAATAGGGCAATAATTAGCGAATGTCCAATACTCTCGAAAGGATATACTGACGGAAAAGATTATTCACCCTCGGGACCCCAGCGAGCTCTTCTTCGAATTAGGCTCTATAGAATTGTCCTTAAACAAAAACACAATGTTTTTAACGCCTTATATCTTACTAAATCGGTACAATTAAAAATATACAACAGCCACTTTGCCATAGCTCTTATTTAAAGGAGAATTTCAGCCGCGTCGTCGTCGTGTTACCGTCCAATATGCTTAAGGTCCCTAGTGTCATCGCTTGCGAATACTTTACATTCAATGATTATTCCTGTACTTCTGCTCGACGAATGAAAGTTTAAAGTATAACCAACGTCTCTAAGGGGCTGTTTATCATGTTATCTGTTTCCAACAACTGACAACATGTTAGATGAAGTATATACTGTTTTAGCGCGCTTTTCAGTTGAACGCCATTTTTGTTAATATTGTTGTTTTTCCTATAGCTATTCATGTTTTATACGAAGAATCTAAATAAAACCAACTATAAACATCTGATAGCTCGGTCTTCAACCAAACGAAAGTGTTCTTATATCCATTACGCCTAGGTTTAGCACTAAAGGCCATGTTACACAGTGCAATTTTTCTTCCAACTTCCAATGTAATTCTACTTTTAAGAGATGTAAATTCGTGACGGGTTCTCGAAATGTAGGTGTAAGAAACGTCATGGAGTGTATATAATAAAGACAAAAGTTGTGTAGTTGCCAAATTTACTTTTAAAAAAAGAATTGCATTGAAAGTTGCAAGAAAAATCGCACTGTGTAAGAGAGCCTCTTTAACTATGGGTTAAATTTAACCTGCTTTTGAACAACCGGCCCTTGGTTTTCATACAACATGCAATAAGACCCGTTTCACACCATATTTAGTTCTATATGAGCGAATACATTAATCAAAGCAATAGATATTGAGGCATTTCCGTTTAATATTGATTGTCTATGATGTATTTGGCATGTCAAAAAACGGCTTTTGAAACAGACGTGACTCGTCATAATGCGTCGCCATTCACTGATATGTCATAATTTGTTGTAATTCTGTTTTCATATGTCAAATTTCGCATAAAAACGGATTACTACAATTAGATTATACGTTCTCAAGCAGCTTATAGCATTCGTAATCGTATATAATTACATGTAATATATTTAATTTGTAATTTCAACTCGATTTATTTGTCTATTCGAAAAACAACGAATATTTATGTCATATTAGTGTTTGCCCTTTTTGAATCCAACCTATAAGGCGGAGCAATTTGGCAAGGAATTGACAACCTCCTGTGGCCTATCAGCATAAAAAAAAGGTTTTAAAGTATTCAAAATATTATCTTGTGACTTGTGATAGCTTTGTCTATATTCATAGAGGCATTGAATGCTATAACTGAATATACCAAGCTATATCGTGGAGGAATTGACCAATGCGGTAAAAGTTATTTAAAAGTATCTATTCTTCAGCAAGGTGAATATCATGATTACTGTTGTATATTTTATGGTAGTATAATGAGAATACAGTCTAGTTTAATTCTTCCGCGTTTGATCTGTATTGTGGGGAAAATAAGACTCCATTAACCATGTTTAAATTACTGTAGTCACAATACGTGTTAGTCGATACGAATGAGCGTTGTTAACTCCTGAAAGCAAGTCTGATGATTTTCGCTGTGGTGTTGCTTTCGTCTCGACGATAAGCGTCGACGTGAACAAACGTGATTTAAAGTAAATCAAAGTCTCATCTAAACATGAATTTTCCCGTCGAATATTCTACTCTATTGCTCAAGTATTGTACTCTATTGCTGTCTGTAATTTTCCTAATTGATCAGTGATCTCATATGCCATAACAAACTATATTTTCGAAGGAGTTACAATGAACTCTACATAATCATAAATTAAGACAAATTTCTAGTTGGTTGTTATAGCTACCTTCCGGAAATCGATATGTGGGTAATTAAGTTGCATATCGCGGTTAGCGAGATTAAACCAAGCTTGAAATGACTTTGGTAATGAAATGAGCAACTAACATGATTCTGGCAGTAATGTGCTTGTATGGTCTCCTAAAGACTTATTTCAAAACCTCAAAGTCGTCTCAGAAGTCTGAGTCGTCTTTACACTAGAGCGAAAGTTTCTGGATTCATCACGAAAGCGGAATGTATTAGTACCGGATTCATGTTGCTGTTTACACACGCAGCAACGAATCCGATAGAAAATGTACTCGGTTTTAAGCTGTATCTGCATGGAAACCTTGAATCCGTAAAAGTTTGTTGAAACTTCGTATCCAGAAACATTTTAATCCGGAAAATTTTCTTGTGTAAACGCTTTACACGACGATTCCGAAGAAATTCAAACGTGACGACCAAACAATTCTCCAAGAACAAGTAATGTGAGTGTAAACGGACAAATCCGCATACAGAGACAACTAAAGTGTAGTGTAAACACCTGAACGAATCTGATACATGTGTGCAACAATGAATCCGGATATTTTTACAAATCTGGAAACTTTCGTTCTAGTGTAAACGGGGTCTCACTCTTCGTTAAATGACGGCTAGCTCCTTAGATCCATTGAATTATTTTCCGACAGACAAAGCATTTTTCGCACCAGTGACATGAGATAAAGGAGACCCTGGTGCTTAGGACAAGTAGGAACCAGGCTTAATAGATACACTATAATACATTTCCCGAAATTAAATCATACCAAGAAACTTGGAGCTAGAAACTTGGAGCTAAAAAATGGCGGAAATTAGAGGAGTAGTTAAGAAAGGTCATTTTTATACCTACGTTCCCAGCGAAATATTTTTCATAATTTAAACGTGATGTAAAGGAGCAGAAAGCCTTCAAGTATCAAATGTTAAGCTTAGACGGAAAGCTGCATGCAGTCGACGCGAGAGCGAACATTCAGTGTGCGCAAGAGTTTGAAGCGGAAAAGTGATTGAACTGATATAACGGCATTCTTGCATGAATTAAAATAAAGGGGTGACACAATAGTACGATTAGTTAGTGCATGGTTCATATTTTGATTTCTAAGATTAAGAGTGTGTCGCGAACGTTGTGTTGAGTAGCTCACGTGACGTTGAAACGACATAGAAAAGTATGCGTGCAGAGAAGCTTATGACAAGGCATAGCAGTAAATATAAATTCTAACATTTGAGAAAACATTGATTATGGCGACATCCTTTTGTCACTAATGTTGTAGCAGACGGTGCCTATGGACCGAATGTGGCAGACGGTCCCTAAATTCGGGCAAGGTGAGGACAGCGAAGCCCGCCTGCCGGGTTTGGCTATGTTTGTTGTCAACCTCACCTTTTCAGTCCAAGCGCAATTAGCTAATCCAAAAACAGTTAATAGGGAGATTTTATAGCAAGGCGACATGAACGTCAAAGACGACGTGAAAATGGCGAGTAAATGGCGTGGCATGTTCATGCATATTTGGGCGCATCACGCCATTTATTCGCCATTTTCACGTCGTCTTTGATGTTCACGTCCTCATGCTAAGTCGCCCTAATATTATAACAAGACGCCTGTTCTGGCGTGACTAGCGTGAGCTCCGGAGTGCCACGCACGTGCCAGTCTTCAATAAAAAGCTTCTGAACATAAAATACAGTTCATACTCATTTATACCTTGCCAACCTTAATGTTATTCGATTGGGAAATTCAGAAGCACATCGTACTTTAAAAAGTATCGAAGTTCAATTGTTCAAAAATGTAAATAAACCGAATGATACATTCGCTTTGTCTTACACTTTGCCTTTGGAATTCGCGCTTATATAGTTATATTAATTCAAGCTGCGACGTGTCAACAATGCGCCCATACACGACCACATCTTGTTAAACGGCGAAATAGCAGCGATATTATTAAAATAGGACCAGAATCTACATGTATTAAATATATTCTTACCCCAATTAAATCTTGACTTGATCGAACAGCATCAAAAGAATCTGTTTATTTGTTCCTCTTGGAGGAATTGCGGTGCCCGCGCCAAGTTTGGCACCGCATTATATTCTGCCTGTGAGTTTGTTTGTTCGCATAAATACGTTTCCTTAATCGCCAAGTAAAAATTCCTTGCACATACTTGGAATGCTTGGAATTTTTTCGTGATTATTACTATCAATCTTGTTGTACGTTTGGCAAATTCCTTTTTTAAAGGAACGTTCTTTTTTCAATTTCAATCTCAAACTCTGATAATTGCGTGTATCTCTGCTTTTATGCACCCAAGAAGGACAAAAATACCACCATTCGATTCAGCGTAAGAAATTATACTTACAGGTCTTAAATATATTACTAAACAAGAGTATTCGCAGCGATTTATGACGTTTGAAAGACAAACGAAATTGAATTGTTGACAAATCGCTCAAAATTACTATGCTATACTTTACTAGTAATAGTAAGTTTGGTCTTTGATATCTTTCATATCGTTGGTTTTCTCTTTTAATTTTCGTCCTTAAATAAGTGGATCGGTCTTACATTGCGATTTATTTTATAGTACTTTGAGCCAAATATATTCTATTTCGAAGGTTTTAAAGTATAGTTTCAATAAGCGAACTTTATGACAAATCGCTCAAAATTATTAAACAAATTAAAAATGCAATACGCTTAATCCTTGACTTCTGTATCGTTGCTTTTCTAGTTTACGGCTCTACGCCAGTTTATTCGTCTCACGTTTCTCTTCATTTTGATAGTATTCTTATATAGTATTTTTAGCCTAAATATTTTATTTCTGAAGATTTTAAAACGGCGCAATTTTGACCTTAATGTACCAACCAACCAGGCTGCGGCCGACAGGAAATGTAAGTTGGTGATGTCGTTAGAAATGAGCGGACGTTTTATTTCTAGACAAGCATTGCGGGCACCGCATTTTAGTACTGTGTCTGGTTGCCGTATCATGCGAGCGAAATCCAATCGCGCATCGGAAAATTAGCCAAAGCTGTGCACCACAACTCTTGGGAGAAAAGACTGTGACGTAGATAAATACGGTCACATACACATCTTAAATACTAGTATATTTCGCGCTACAAACATACTTGCAACGACGAACAAAAAAATTAAAAAAAAATGTAATAACAAAACTGTAATAACTAATAACTTGGATATATTATTTTCCGGCTGTAAGTTTATTTATGAATCGAAGTATGGTCAGTTTTCGAAATATTAAAATGATTATTTAGGATTTCGAAAGAAACACCAAAGAACGTTTAAACCAGGACAATTAAGCGAAGAAGCAGAAGAGCAGCAGTGGATCCAGCACGATCCCGGCCTCCCCTTGATGAATGTATGTCACGCTGACATTGCGCAACGTAGTCATTTTGAAATTCGTAATTCTTACTCATTACATACATTTTGTTGCCCCGTTCATCCATGGGTAGCCCGATTAGATTTGAAATAGTAAAATTTGCTCCAGTCATGCTATTATTGCTTTTGCCTCGCGACCACTATGACGTCACTGAACTCACAGCGAAACTGGAGTGAAGCGCAACTGAAGCAAAATTTGACTAATTTAAATATTTACTGGAATTCCTATTGTCCATCGCTTGCGAATACATTATATTCAATGGTTATTTCTGTATTTCTGCTCGACAAATAAAAGTTTAAAATATAACCAACATCCCTTAGATGCAGTTGTGGCAATCGATATATTTGCATCTCTTTGTATGTGTTCTGGAAATTGTGTCATCAACAGGACAAGGTAAGAATTAAACAATACTTAGAGCTGTTTAAACTAGCTATACCGAATTAGCATGATCATGATCCCACGCCATCAAAAATTGCTATGTCAGAATAAATTTTCCCTCCAAAGTATGGAAGCCTGATCCAACCAAGCGTGGAATGACACACGTTCATCCGACCCTGATCGGAAAGGTCTGTTCACAGGATCCAATTTTTTTCATCCAATCCACTCTTGACGTATGAAATATAGTCGGTTGTTGATAAAGCAGTACAGGATTGGCTTCAGTGGGTTTGCTGCTCATATACACTACAAGGCCTCAGACTGTAAAATATCTATCAGAAGTGAATTGGATCCAACAAAATTGGATCTTGAATATCGTTTATACAGCATAAAGTATGCAAAAAACAAGCCAATTTCCGCTAAAAAAAACTTTCGTTCAAGAATGCAGTCTGCAGAGTTAATTTCAAACATTTAAATGACTTTTATTTTGTAGTTTTATTTAATATTATATTGTAAGTAACCTAAATATAAATTGATGTATACAGTTAGGTTTGGATTCAAAAGTTCAACCTACACCGTTGGTGAGGCAGATGGTAAATTGCAAGTTTGTCTTAATGTTAGCAATTTTGATGGGACTTCTTTTTCAGGAACGTGAGTAAATTTTCTTTATATTTATATGCACATCCGGTAGCGGACGGAATACTTTGCAATTGAATCATCCATGCAATATTGTTAAAAATTTTATACAATTTATTCTTCTCTTTTTCACTCTCGTACTGTAATTTCAAAGTGAATAGTCCTCTTTCTCAACATCTTTGATCTTTAGATGAAAAATATCAGTTTTGATGACAATAATGAATAAATCGATAAATCTGTACAACAAAGATATGCGGCTAATTTTGTGTCTATCGGGTTAATGTGTGTATCATAAATATTTTAAGATTAACGTTCAGAAATGGCACTGCAACAAGCGGAGAAGATTATTCAGATGATGGGAAATCTGTTGGAATACAAAGTTTTATTCAAAAAACTGATTGCGAAAATATTGATATAATTGATGATAACAGTTATGAAGGCAGCGAAAATTTTACAGTTGTTTTGATGTTAAATAACAATCCCAACGTTCAAATTACTGTTGGCGAAGCGACAGTGACTATCACAGATGATGACGGTAATGATTTGAAATGTATTTTCTATATATTATAGTTACTGACATTTTCTTAGTGTGCAACGCAAGTGCAGATAGCACTGACAGCATTTCTTTATTTGTTCACTATTAATTCATGAAAATCAAGTCTCGTACATGCATCGCCATTCGTCGGCACTGTTTTTGTTGTTTCATATTGATGAGTAAAATGCTGTGTCCATTTAAAAAAAAATATTTACTTAATTGATCACTCTTAATAGATCTTACAACATTGCCGATGAATCACGACATACTGTATGAGAACTAGGCCTAAGTCTTTAATTCTCATCATTTTCGCAATGGTTGCAAAGGATAAACGTTTGCAACACTTGCTTCAGTAAAATTTTTTTTTTTTTTAAAATTTCCAAATTTTAAGGTACATTAAAAATTAAATTTAATCTTCTTTAAGAAAAAGTATATAAGTGAAATATCATTTTCATGTAGGCCTCTTATCTCCTCGATAAAGGCGAAAGCGATATAGTATGTGATAAATTATATTCTTAGGTTTGAAACTTGGATGCAGTTGCTACTACATTTCTGTTCAAAAATTCCATTTACACTGTTGGGTGAATAAGATGGTAACGTTAGGGTTACCTTTTTATTATTATCAAGAAAACTTTTTAGGAACGTGTTTAGATTTCGCATTAATTGCTCTTGAAAATGAACAAATATTACAGTCTCCAAATTTTATTTTTTACATTAAAACAAAAATTTAAACTGTTTGATGAGAAATCTGCAGCGGCAAAATTTTTCATATTCGCTGATATAAAAACCAATTGCATTTACAGGTGAATATGATACGCGAACTTCATGCAAGACTACATGCGAGGTTAAAAATAGTGGGCACTGTGTTGTTTTCGCTTCCTTGACGTCAAGAAATAGCCAATTTCTGAGAGAAAATATACCGCATTCTCAACTAGAGACTTGCAGTAAACACCAAAGACTTAAAATAATTTTAAATAAATACGTGCAATAGTAATACTGGACGCCTCGATTTTTAAGCGCTTTTACAGAATTTTTAAAATACTTTTAGGAAACATTTAACTGTACCTGTTTCTACTCTACATGCTTAGGCTAGTTTTCCATTTGGTATAACAATTTTATCGCTAATTTTAGAAACCCTCAGGGTTTGCGTTTCCTCTTGCGGAAATATTACATTTTTGGAAAATATTATGCCAAATCCCCTGTGACGCGAAATCTAAAAAAAATTATCGATTAATGGACGAAGCAAAAATATCGTTGCTGACGTTCTCAATTTTTACTGAAGGATCTCCGGAAACAGTTTACTTATGTTGCTCCATATGTATTTTATCAGTTCCCTTCATATAATATATTTGTGTCCGACTTTTTTTGAGATATTTCCCAACTTTTTCAGCTGCCCCCACGGCCCCTGTTACATTTGGATTCCAAAGCTCAACTTACACCGTTGGTGAGGCAAATGGTAAATTGCAAGTTTGTCTTAATGTTAGCAATTTTGGTGGGACTTCCTTTTCAGGAACGTGAGTAAATTTTCATTATATTTATAGGTATGTACATCCGGGTAGCGGACGGAATACTTTGTTATTGAATCATCCATGCAATATTGTTAAAAATTTTAAACAATTTATTTCTCTCTTTTTCACTCTCGTACTGTAATTTCAAAGTGAACAGTCCTCTTTCTAAGCATCTTTGATTTTTAGATGAAAAATATCAGTTTTGATGACAATAATTAATAAATCGATAAATCTGTACAACCAAGATATGCGGCTAATTTTTTGTTTATCGGGTTAATGTGTGTATCATAAATATTTTAAGATTAACATTCAGAAATGGCACTGCAACAAGCGGAGAAGATTATTCAGATGTTGAGAAATCTGTTGGAATACAAAGTTTTATTCAAACAACTGATTGCGTTGATATTTTGATAATTGATGATAACAGTTATGAAGGCAGCGAAAATTTTACAGTTGTTTTGACGTTAAATAACAATCCCAACGTTCAAATTACTATTGGCGAAGCGACAGTGACTATCACAGATAATGAAGGTAATGATTTGAGATGTATTTTCTATATAAATTAGTATAGTTACTGACATTTTTTTACTGTGCAACGCAAGTGTAGATAGCATAGCATTTCTTTATTTCTTTACTATCAATTCATGAAAATAAAGTCTCGTACATCGCCATTCGTCGGCACTATTTTTTTTCCGTTCATATTGATGAGTGAAATGCTGTGTCTATTTAAAAAAAAAATATTTACTTAATTGACCACTCATAATGGATCTTACAACATTGCCGATGAATCACGACATACTGTATGGGAACTAGGCCTAAGTCTTTAATTCTCATCATTTTCGTAATGGTTGCAAAGGATAATCGTTTGCAACACTTGCTTCAGTGAAAATTTTTTTTCTTTTCAAAATTTCCAAATTTTAAGGTACATTAAAAATTAAATTTAATCTTCTTGAAAGGAAAGTATATAAGTGACGTATCATTTTCATGTAGCCCTCTTACCTCCCCGATTAAGGCGAAGAATAGTTTATTTTTCCAAAAAATACGTTTAGCAAGTCAAAAAAGCTGTCAAAGTTGCCTTGTCTGAAATTTTCCCCATAGCAACGCCTTAGCAACGCTTTTAGATACGAAATTCTCTCAAATTTTTTTCCAAAAATCGCTTAAAACAAGTTTTCGAGTGTTCTGAATCTGCTTCATTGTGATTGGCTGCTGTGGGGAGCCATTGCAACCCTATTTTCTTTGTCTGTATTGAGATAGTAAGTGCATTTGTGAAGTAAAGTGAAGTGAAGAAAAGTGTAGTAACATGGAACGCTTCCAGAACTTGGTATATACTGAGGACAGTGATATTATCTGTGTAAACGAAACATGGTTGAGAGAGGACATTGGGCCCAATAACTTGGAAATTTTACACTCTAGCTACACGATATTCAGGAAAGATCGAAAATCTCGTGGTGGTGGAGTGTTGCTAGCAGTGAAGTCATCTTCTTTTAAATCTGTGGGAGAGATCAAACATAAAAGTGACATAGAAGTTACATTAGCTGAACTAACGACTGCCTCCGATATGAAGTTACTCGTTGCTTCATGTTATCGTCCTCCTAACGAAGATCAGACTTGGATGGAAAAATTCAATAACTTTCTTGGGGATGTTTGCTCTAACAATACAAATATCATACTCGCGGGAGATTTTAATCTACCACATATCTCATGGCGCTCGCTAGAAACATCAACGGGGATCAGCGAGAATACCTTCATCGAACTTCTTCATGATTATTTTCTCGTTCAGCTAAACAACACAGCAACTAGAGTAGATAACATACTTGACCTCATTATTACGAACATCCCTGATATGGTTCAATTATGCGACGTGTGGTCTCCTGCTGAAGCTGAAATCTTCACCGACCATAACGTTATCAATTTCGAAATCTTAATCCATCCAAAACGTCCAACCAAAATACAGAGAACTGTATACGACTATCGCCGCGGAGATTTTACCGCCTTACGATTAGCTCTAGAGTCTTCAAACCTTTCAGCTAATATCTCTGCTGACGGTGATATCAACGACGGTTGGAGGAATTGGAGGAATACTTTTCTTACCACGGTATCACACTACATCCCATCTGCAAAGATACGTGGCCGGAATTATGTGCCGTGGATGAGCAGCGCGATACTTCATAACATTAAAAAGAAAAGTTCTCTACGACGTAAGCTGGCAAAATCTAAAACCACTAAAGAAGCCCTAAAAGCAAAAATCAAGGAACTTAGAACTGCCATAAAGAAAATGTGGCGTGATAGCTGCTCAAGGTACATAAATTATATCTGTTCAGACCGCATGAATAATCCGAAGCGCTTCTGGTCTCTCTTCAAACTAAGATCAAACGTTAGCAATGTACCCGAGAAGGTGTCAATAGCTGAATGTGAAGTTACAAGATCATCCGCAGAATCCTCAGAGGCCATCGCATCTGCCTTTAATTCCGACTTCACCTCAATCTTCACCAGTGATCAACCAAACACAGTCAACGATTCCTGTTCAATCGAAGCAGTTCGTGACAACTCGACGAACAACACCTTGTTGGAGAACATCACGTTAAAACCAGTTCATATTGCTTCAGTCTTAAAAACTCTTGACAACAATAAAGCGCATGGACCAGATGGTATTCCTGCACGTTTACTTACAGAAACAGCGTACCAAATAGCGCCGTCGCTTCGTGATCTATTCAACAAGTCACTGCGCACTGGAGTAGTACCGCGAGATTGGAAACTGGCCAATGTCGTTCCTGTTTTTAAGAAGGGAGATAAGGAATATGTTGAAAATTACAGACCAATATCTCTACTTTCGTTAATATCTAAAGTATTGGAACGCTGTTTGTTTGACTGCATCAAAGAACATGTGTTTAGCCAGATTAATCATTGTCAACATGGCTTCATGCCAGGAAGAAATTGCGCCACCCAGTTAATCGAAGTATTTGACAAAATTGGTAACTTGTTGGATCGTGGTAAACAAATTGATGTCTTATACCTGGACATGTCAAAAGCCTTCGATAAGGTGAGCCACAAACGTCTTCTCCTTTGTCTTCGTGATTTCGGGTTTAATGGTAACATCCTCAGATGGTTTGGTTCATACTTACAAGATCGCAGACAACAAACGACCATTCTTGGTGCAACATCATCTCCTACACCAGTAACATCAGGAGTACCTCAGGGCTCAATACTCGGTCCACTACTCTTCCTATTGTATGAAAATGATCTACCTAACAGTATCGTGAGTTCTTCTATCGCAACCTATGCTGATGACACCAAGATATTTAAAGAAATCAACTGCCTTGATGATGCTACAGCGTTGCAGGATGATCTGTCAAACTTTGAAACTAGTTTTTTGAATTCTGGTCTTAAACTAAACACATCAAAGTGTAAGACTCTACGTATTACCAGGAAGCGCAAGATAGTCAATCATTCCTACACTCTAAAAAACAAAACCCTAGAAAACTCAGAGCATGAACTTGATTTAGGTGTATGGATTTCCAACAACTTGACTTGGCGAAAACAAGTCTTGGAACAATGTTCAAAGGCAAATAAATCACTTGGATTTTTGAAACGATCTACACGGAATATTAGCAATCAATCAGCGCGTCGTACTCTGTACTTAACTCTCGTTAGATCACAAATCGGTTATGCAACGCAAATTTGGTCACCACAGTCTGTCGAGCTCATATCCCGATTAGAACGAATACAGAGACGTGCATCAAAATATATCCTTCGTCTGCCATTTCTTTGTGAAGCCAGCTACGAACAACGTCTGAAGCAATTGAAATTTCTTCCTATCAGTTATTGGCACGAGTATTTAGATATGATGTTATTATTCAAAGTAAATTGTGGTCTAATAAATCTCTCGGGCGCAGTGCTTCCTACACAACCTATGAAATTGAGAACAACAAGATCCGTTCAACAAAACTCCACCCAATTCCATATCAAGAAATCCTATACAGCAACATATCAACGATCATATTCTATCAGATCAACAAGGATCTGGAATAGTCTACCAAAACACATAACTAATAATCTGAACTCGTTATATACCTTTAAAAAATATCTACTTGATTACTACTTCTCTGCTCTAGAATGTAACTATAACATAAATGATCTTCGTTCATGGAAAACAATTTGTTTAAAGTGCAATCAGACTCGAGATCTCACTAAACCTCTTGCATGTTGTTTTTAATAAAGATGTTTTAAAAGAAATAATGTTATTATTATAATATATATAAATTATTGTAGTATAATGGGATCACAGTAATTGGCCAAAAGCTGTTGTGAATACCCTGTCACAATTGTTGTAAATTGTTTAATGTTGTACTATTAGAAATAGTGTAATTGGAGCTATCTTGCAGTGAGGACTTTCACAGATCCATGTCTATTCTAATATGTTTAATAGTTTTTTGACTGTAAAATTGAAGTCTGCAAGGATAGTTCTAATAATGTTATAAATTATAATAGTGTTTTACTTGTAAATTTAAATTGTGACAAAGCTTATAAAATTAGAAATTAAAAAAATTTGCATCTTCGGCGAAGTCCTCTTCAAATATCGTGTTTTTTTCCAACATTACAAGTCAAAAAGTTGCTGTTCTAGTTTCCCAAAGATTTCGTTTGTTTTTTTGGTTATAAATTAAAGTTATAGATGGGAAATCCGCAGAACAGAGGCAGAAAACGAGTTCGAAAAGCGCCTTCCAAAATGGCCAAGAAATGCAAGCATGGCGACGATCATCGTGACAAAGAATCTGGGCCTTCCGGGGCGAAAATCGGTCACCAGACAACAAATTTTAGTATTCATTCAAAAAATATGGACACAATAAGGGAAGGAACAGTATTCATTGACATTTCAATTTTATTCGGCGTGTTTGATGAGATTCTGAAGTGCCCTGACTGTGGGGAAGAAACGAAGTCACATTTTGATATGAAGAAAAAACATGGATATGCCCATTACATATCTTTGCAATGTGTTTCATGCGACTGGAAGTATTGTTTTCATACTTCTAAAAAGCAAGGCCAGTCCTATGAAATTAATACCAGAGCAGTCTTGGCCTTTAGAGAGATTGGTAAAGGACACAGTGCCATGGCTACCTTCTCCAAAATTTTGAACATGCCTGCCCCACCAAGTCGTGCCAATTTCACGAAGACTCAAAATAAAAAGCTACTTCCTGTAATGAAGCAGTGTGCCAATGATAGCATGGTGAACAATGCTGTTCAAGTCAAAGAAATTATTGAAAGTGATGCTGGAGAATGTGGAGTATCCATAGATGGTACATGGCAGAATTAAGCGAGGTTACTCATCCCACAATGGTGTTGTAACGGCGATTTCCCTCGACACAAAGAAATGCCTTGATGTAGAAGTCATGTCTGACAAGTGCCAGCAATGTCTCAAATGAAGCAAAAGAAAGGATGATCCAAAGTATGCTGAGTGGAAAGCAAATCACCAGTGTAAAATTAACCATACTGGCAGTTCAGGCAGCATGGAGACGAATGGTGCCTTGCGGATCTTTGAAAGGTCACACACTACCAGAGGACTGAAATATAAAGATATGCTTGGTGATGGTGATTCATCAACTTATAGTGCAATTCTGGATCGGAGAAAAAACCATATGGAGAGGATTGCATACCTAAGAAACTAGAATGTATTGGACATGTCCAGAAGCGAGTAGGAAGTCGATTACGAAAGTTGAAGAATTCGAATAAGGGTAGAAAACTCTCTGATGGCAAAGGATTATCTGGCAAAGGTCGCTTAACCACAACAAAGATAGATGTCCTACAGAACTATTATGGTTTGGCCATTAAAGAAAACCATGGAAGTGTTGAAGATATGGCCAAGGCTGTGAAGGCTTCTCTATTTCATGTTGCGTCATCAGAAAAGAATCCTCAACATCATCTTTGTCCAAAAGGAGAGGACAGTTGGTGTGGTTATCAGAGAGATAATACAACATACAAACATAAGGATGGTATTCCTGAGACCTTTGTAGAACTAGTGGAACCTATTTTCATTGACTTGGCTGACCCTGAGTTATTAAAGAAATGCACCCATGGCTTGACGCAGAGTCCAAACGAATGTTTAAATGGCATGATCTGGGACAGATGTCCAAAAGGTACTTATGTGGAGCAGGAGACTGTAGCTCTTGCCACATATTTGGCAGTCATGAAGTGTAATGATGGGGATATTTCATACATCAAAGTTCTACAAGATTTGGATTTAACTCCTGGTCTATTCACATCTAAAGGCGCCCAAGACTGTGACAGAGAAAGGATCAAGCTGTCCGCCCAAAAGAACTCAGACAAGGTCAAAGCAAGAAGAAAAACACTAAGGCATCTCAGAAAAAAAGAATTTGGAAAGTGCTGAGAGCACTGAAGGGGTAACCTATGAGTCAGGTAGCTTCTAAACACCTTAAAACATGAACGGAAACTTTGAACAGTATTTTCTCCTTTTCGCAATTTAGCATGTCTAGTTGATCTTTGTGACACTGTAATCTTGTAAATATTTATTCCAGAGGCTTGATATTTAGCAGTTTTGCTAACTTTCATATCCCCTATTATGTGAACCTCTCCAATTTTTAATATTTTCACCCTTCATGAAATAATAGGCTAATTTTTCTAGGAAAAAGTGTAAATAATTATAACATCACAAAATGTAGCTCAAATTTTTTTTTTAGATATTTTAAAGAAATTGAACAATTTCAAATGATAGATATAGTTGTAAGCTTTTCAAAAATATATAATTTGTCTGATTCTGATGACTGTTTCTTGAGATATCATGTATAAAGTGCGAAGCAATTATGTGTTAATTAGCAGCCGCCATATTGGATAATTAGGCTAATTAGGGACTTTTTGAAAAAATTTTTGCGTGGGTCATTTTTTATTGCCTGTCCCTTCCAAAAAATAATATTTTTGCACAAATCTACTTAAAAATGAAAAAAAAGGTTTCAAGTGGCAATGATCACCTTACGCTAGACCATTTCACATTACGCTAGACCATTTCACATTACGCTAGACCATTTCACAATAAACTAGACCATTTCATATTACGCTAGAACTTTTCATATTACGCTAGGCATTTCACATTGCGCTAGACAATTTCACCTTACACTAGACCATTTCACATTACACTAGACCATTTCATATTACGCTAGAACAATTCATATTACGCTAGACCATTTCACATTACACTAGACCATTTCATATTACGCTAGAACATTTCATATTACGCTAGGCATTTCACATTGCGCTAGAACATTTCACATTACGCTAGACCATTTCACATTACACTAGACCATTTCACATTACACTAGACCATTTCATATTACGCTAGAACATTTCATATTACGCTAGCCCATTTCACATTGCGCTAGACCATTTCACATTACGCTAGACCATTTCACATTACGCTAGACCATTTCACATTATGCTAGAACATTTCATATTACGCTAGACCATTTCATATTACGCTAGAACATTTCATATTACGCTAGACCATTTCATATTACGCTAGAACATTTCATATTACGCTAGAACATTTCATATTACGCTAGAACATTTCATATTACGCTAGTACATTTTATATTACGCTAGAACATTTCATATTACGCTAGACCATTTCACATTATGCTAGACCATTTCATATTACGCTAGACCATTTCATAATTTATTACGCTAGACCATTTCACAATATGCCAGGCTATTTCATATTACGCTAGACCATTTGATATTACGCTAGACCATTTCACATTACGCTAGACCATTTCACATTATGCTAGACCATTTCACATTACACTAGACCATTTTTACATTACACTAGACCATTTCATATTACGCTAGAACATTTCATATTACGCTAGGCATTTCACATTGCGCTAGACCATTTCGCATTAGGCTAGACCATTTAATTTCACATTACGCTAGACCATTTCACATTACGCTAGACCATTTCACATTATGCTAGAACATTTCACATTACGCTAAACCATTTCACATTATGCCAGACCATTTCACATTATGCTAGAACATTTCACATTATGCTAGCCCATTTCACATTGCGCTAAACCATTTCACATTACGCTAGACCATTTCACATTACGCTAGACCATTTCACATTATGGTAGAACATTTCACATTACGCTAGACCATTTCATATTACGCTAGACCATTTCACATTACGCTAGACCATATCACATTATGCCAGACCATTTCATATTACGCTAGACAATTTGATAGACCATTTCACATTACGCTAGAGCATTTCATATTTCGCTAGCCATTTCACGCAACGCTAGCCATTTCACATTATTGTGGACCATTTCACATTATGGTAGACCTGCTAGCCATTTCACATTATGCTAGACCATTTCACATTACGCGAATCATTTAACATAACGCTAGCCATTTCACATTACCGCTAGGCATTTCATCTTATGCTATACCAATTCATACTACGCTAGCCCTTTCACGTTACGCTAGCCCTTTCACATTACTCTAGACCATTTCACATTACGCTAGACCATTTTACATTACGCTAGACCATTTCACAATACGCTAGACCATTTAACAGTATGCTAGACCATTTCACATTACGCTAGACAATTTCACATTACGCTAGACCATTTCATATTACGCTAGACCATTTCACATTACGCTAGACTATTTCACATTATGCTAGACCATTTCACATTATGCTAGACCATTTCACATTATGCTAGACCATTTCACATTACGCTAGACCATTTCATATTACGCTAGACTATTTCACATTATGCTAGACCATTTCACATTATGCTAGACCATTTCACATTATGCTAGACCATTTCACATTACGCTAGACCATTTCATATTACGCTAGACCATTTCACATTATGCTAGACCATTTCACATTACGCTGGACCATTTCATATTTCGCTCTTATAGGCAGAATATTTTGCATAAACTTTCTAATGCACATATCTCTACGAATGTTATGCATGGGTTCACAACCTCCATTGTAATGCCTGCTTCAGAAAACTGAGTTTTTTTCGGCAAATTATCAGAATTAGAAGGAAAATATAAACAATATAATCATAAAAATCCTGACCCTTTCGTTTAATATATTTTCAGATGTCGACGAATGCATTGCAGAATCTCATAATTGCCATCGTAATGCCTACTGCAATAATACTGATGGTTCTTTCAATTGTTTATGTAAGAGCGGCTACTTTGGAAATGGAACTGACTGTAAAGGTTAGCCGGACGTAAATATTAGAGACGATATAATTCTAAATTCGCACGCTTCAAAACTTTGAAGAAATTTTAATGATCCTGTTCATTTTTCAAAGACATATATAGATATATAACTACGCTCTAACTTTCGTTAATATTTTATTCAGATATCGATGAATGTGCTGTGGGTTCTCATAATTGTCTTTTCGACGGCTACTGTATCAATACTGATGGATCTTTCAATTGCACATGTAAAAAAGACTACCCAGTAAACGGAACAGACTGCAAAGGTTTGCCGAGAATATTTCATGAATTACTGCATTTGAATCTATATTTCTAATTTTTTTGGCTCGAAATTCATATCACGCAGGTCCAACTTAGCTAAGTTTCTCCCACTCGTGCAGGCTCATATTGTCAGCGGACAACTTACACAAAATTGAGAGCAAGGCGTAAAACGAAAAGCTTCTAATTTTTCATGCGAAGACCGCTGGAAAACTGAGCCCTCTTTACCGGGAGAAAATTTGCCGAATATGACCAACGTGTATAGAGAAAATGAAAATTTTTAATTGGAATATTTCGCTCTTATAGGCAGAATATTTGTATAAACTTTCTAATGCACAAATCTCTACGAATTTTATGCATGGGTTCACAACTTCCATTGTAATGTCTGCTTCAGGAAACTGTTTTTTTTTGGCAAAATATCAGAGTTAGGAGGAAAATATGAACACTATAATATTCGCTCTTATAGGCAGAATATTTTGTATAAACTTTCTAATGCACATATCACAGATTATCGCAAGTGTGTTTTGGCGCGAAATATACTAGTATTTGCATGTGACCGTATTTATCTACGTTTAATATTTATTCAGATTTCGAGCAATGCATTGTAAACGGGACGAGGGCTATCGCTGATGATGATGACAGTAAGAAATTTCACATATATTTTTTATGTATAGTGACCAACATTTTTGTGGTGTAAAATGGAAGTCCAAATAGTGCAAAGAATTTAGTAATATGGTCACTTTTGACTTTTTAAAATAAATTCTGTGCACAAGGATATAATTGGAATATCGGGTCAGAACGTAGACCACGGAATCGTGTAATTTGTGGTTTTATATTGATGTAATAATTCGATCTAACAAATGATGATTAACAATTAGATAAGTAAATATAAGTTTAGGTTACATTGGGTTTAAATCATTCTATCTTTGTCGCATTCTATGTTAATATTATAAAAGTCTGTTTTACTTACTTCTTGCCGGGTCTACGCGTTCTACATAATCTTTAAATAATCACACATAAATCAAATTAAACAGGTTAGCAAACAGAACAAAAGTCCTTTTCACGCAAACGTGCTCTCGTATCTTTACCTAAATCAGTTCAATGTATCCTGGTTCATATTACCTTTAGAATCTCGTGCAATTAATTAATTAATGTCAATCAAAGTTAATATTATTAAGTTCGTACTTAGTCCCTCATCGAAACAATAATGATTGCAAATCTTGAAACTCTCGGACTGATTAATGGTATATTCGAAGTTTTTACCCATCTTTCGTTTTTGGTTTTTTTAGATAAGGCTGGTTCCGTTGTAGTTCGTGTAATTATTAAGAATCGTGAATATCAGCTGGCATTTAGTAATCGTTCAAGTTTAGAATACGCAAGAATCGCTGTGGAAATGTGTTTGACAGTACGGCAAATTCTATTTTTTTTATTATTTCCTTTTCTTAAATGATAGATGCAGTTTGAGCAGAATCCAAGAATTATTACTCAGGGTCACCGACGGAGTTGAAAATGCACCTAGGTTTTGTTTTGTTTTGTTTTTTATTATTTTTCGTGATCGCAAGTGTGTTTTGGCGCGAAATATACTAGTATTTGCATGTGACCGTATTTATCTACGTCACAGTTTTGTCTTCGAAGAGTTGTGGTGCACAGCTTTGGCTAATTTCCCGATGCACTATTTGATTTCGCTCGCATGATACGGCAATTCCTACAAGAGGAACAATTCTTTATGCTGTTCGATTAAGTTTAGATTGAATTGGGGTAAGAATATATTTAATACATGTAGTATCTGGTCCTATTTTAATAATATCGCTGCTATTTCGCCATTTAACAAGATGTCGTGGTGTATATGCGCGTTGACATGTCTCAGTTTGCACAGGATTGAATTCGATTTAATATAAGCGCAATTCCGAAGTGTGAGACAAAGTGAACATACCATGCGGTTTATTTATATTTTTGAACAATTTCTATACAGCAACAACTTCTACACTTTTTAAAGTACGATGTGCTTTTGAATGTTGCGATCCAACAACATTTTAGATTTTAAGTTCGCAAGGCATCCAAACGAGTATGAACCGTATTGTTTATGTTCAGAAGCTTTATATTGAGACTGGCACCGTGGCACGTGGCGGCACGCCAGATTTAACGCCAGAACAGGCGTCTTGTTAAGCCGAAGTTTGTCGTTATCTGCATACGAAGAAGTCCTTTGTTGATATATAACAATGCTATAGCACTGTATTAGAAAAGAGAAGCGTTACATATTTTTCAGTCGTATTTGTGTGTTTTTTCGCTTTACCGCTCGTTGGCAAATTGATGTGACGTGATAACATTGGATACCACTATTTATCGCACGTTATGTCGTAAAATAGCCTGCATAAACTAGAAGTTCCTATAGCAAGTGCTGCCGTGCACTCACAGGCCTGGAGCAAGTAATACATTAGGACGTTTGTACCATGAACACAATTTTCATATACATTTGTAGTGTGAAAACAATTTATACCGTAGTGTAATTTGTAGCTACTGTGAACACAATTTATACCTACATTTGTACTGTGAACACAATTTATACCTACATTTGTACTGAGAACACAATTTTCGCCAAAGAAGCGAATTGTTAGTTGGAATCGAATTCTTAATTGGCTACATAGCTTACAAAAGTTCCTTTATTTGCTGATTTACTAACTTTCAGGCGTGTGTGACAGCCTAATGAATATTTTTCTAATAACTCGATCCATGTTCTGAGTCGAAAAGTACAATCTTTAGCTTAATCTAATCATTTCGTTTTAAGCAGTTGAGGAAGGCTGACGTGACCCTTTATAGTGTGTAAGGCTAAAAAATAAACAAAATAGATACAGATTAAAACACACAAAATGATTATAGTCCAAATTAGAATTAGTTATTTATCATTTGTATTACATTAAGAGATGCATGTACGTATTACATATGGATTATAAGGGCTGTATAATATAGACAACTAACACGGTAGCAATGCAAATAATTATAATTATAGTATTTATATACAAGTAGCGGAATAAATACATTTGCCATCCGTATACAAATATAGATCTGTTTTAATGGCATTGCGGACACGATGCTGTTCAATAAATATTCTCATAACGATATAAATAATAAACTATCACTGGGATTATTTCTACCCTCTGATCAAGCTCAGATTTTTAAATTCGCTTTAACATCTGTTGGGTAAAAAGTCCGAAAAGTCCTCGCTAACCTTGCAGCAAAAAAATTCCACCCTACGACCTCACTTGTCGGACAAACGAGACGATGTCACATATGGCTATTAGACAATAACAGGCTGTGACCTCTTTTACATGAACAAGCGTCAGCGTGGTCAGTTTAATTAGTGCATGAAAGGCCTTCAAAATGAATATATTAATTATGTGTCAGCTGATCTGTAGTGTTTTGATTTAGCAACAGAAAGTTAATATAGAGAATCTATTATTACTTGTCTTTTGGTACTACAAATATATATATAGCTATACTAACAGCGACAACATTATTTTTATCAAATTTAGTGCATCAAAATGTTCAGAAGTGCGAACCTCACTTCGCAAGTTGCTTCATGCTTCGTTGCAAATTTAACGTAAGTGCTTTGTTCTCATTAGGAAAAATAAATAGAGCCGTTTTAGATGACGACAGCAGTTTTTGTTTAAAAAAGAGAACGTGAAACCCTGTGCATTGCTGATCTAGATTTCAAGTCATGAATTACCGGTGACCGCAATTATATTGCAAAGCGTGTCGCTGAAAGGTGGCGCGAAGCGCACTATCTCGCCAAATATAAAGAAATTCGAAATACGATATCAAGAGACATTTTAAGTTTTGGAATCCCAAATCAACGAGTTCGGAACACTCTAAGAAAACCTTATGCGTTGAAACCATTCTTAGGGGCTGTTTACATGAGCCAGGTTACCTAAGACTCAACGAAGCATGAGATTAAAATGAGCACATATAATGATCCTCCCAGTCGCACAATCACCACAACAATAGCATGTGCTTGTTTGGTGTCATAAAGACTTATTTCAACATATCAAAGTCCCCTCACGCTTCGTTAAATCTCGGGTAACCGGGCTCATGTAAACAGTCTCTTAATTTTTAAAATTAAATCCGCAATCTAAAAACCGGAATCCGGAATGCACCAGGTGGGATCCGGAATCTGATAACGAATTTACATTCTTTACATAGGGCGAACTGGCAGTCAGTATTGGTACAGTAATGATGCCTTGTAAATGTTTTCTCTATATTTTGAATTTAGTAATAGCTCTCTAGGTGTCGCCTTCGTAGCAACATTTAACGATGTAACTGGAATTACCTACGAAGATCTCCAAAGAGAATTAGCCGCAACATTGATCGTAACAAACAGCGGCACATTTCTTCCTGGCACCAACCTACAACTCAGCGCTAACACTGATCCCACTAGCACTGAATTGGCTAATCTTTTTAAATTTGAAGGTATATCTGTTCTAGCCTTCTCCGTATGCTGGCATCTCTAATGTATTAAAATTATATATTGAGCATGCCAAATATAAATTATCATCTGATTCAAGGACCTCGGATTAATACGCGATTATCACTAAAGCAGATTCTGCAAATTACGGCGAGTTATTTTGTCGACGTGATAGATGAAGAAATGCAAAGATGATAGATAAAAATACTCTACCTGAAAGCACAAAAGAAGTGAAAAATTTAGACGGGGAAACTATTTCTTTGAACGCTTCAACATTATTTTGCAAAAACATTGTTTTAATTCATATTGTAAAACTGTCGAGATATTTTGGTAGTAAATACCATACCTCTTTTTGGTGGTAAATACCATCCCGCATGGTAAATACACGTATAAGGCAATTCTGAATGTCAACTATTTAACGACTACATTAATTAACATCGTAGTTTTTAAAGTAACTGTCTAGCTATCTCTACTGTATAAAACAGTCTTTCTCTGTGGACCTCTTTAAAACAATCCCTCTCTGTGACAGAGGTAGTGAACATTTTTTCTCCCAAGATTTTTCCTATAACGCGATGACTATCTCGCTATCTTTTAGATTACGATGAGTGCAAACCTTCACAAATTATTCAAGCCCCTGATTGTGGTGAAAATGCAACATGCGTCAATAGAAATCTTACTTACGATTGTATCTGTAATGAAGGCTTGGTCAAGAATGGCAGTGATTGTATTGGTGAGTAGATAAAATCACAAGATTAGCAAAATAAGTATTGACACTTGTCTTAATTTCTTTGTCTTTATCTTGGCGTTTCATCCATGTACACAGTACCACCTGCGAGTAACTTGACGCCACTCCTTAGTAACTACAAGCGGGTGTCCGAGTCACTCGCAAGTAACGAGTAGCGATTTTACTAATTTATACGATTGCATATTTGCTCGCACTTGCATATTTGTGTTTACAATTTGGAGTATTCAAATTCTTAGACTTCGCAATTTTCACAACCTGTATAATTAGTTGTAATCGAAATTTTGCAATCCGTCTATAGGCTTTTTAGTGAGACGATTGATTGATTTTTCGTTTAATGCCTTAATTAAACCAGAAATACGTATAATGGTTACTGTTGTTGTGATATCTAAACTCTAAATATACATAAATCAGTAAAATCACAAACCCAAAATCTAAGTTATGGTTACTTAGAAGATAAGATCTTTTTATTAAACCATTTCATATTACACTAGACCATTTCATATTACGCTAGACCATTTCATATTACGCTAAACCATTTCACATTGCGCTAGACCATTTCACATTATGCTAGCCATTTAACATTTCACTAGGCCATTTCACATGACTGTAGCCATATAACATTACGCTAGACCATTTCACACAATGCTAGCCATTTCACATTATGGTGGACCGTTTCACATTAATCTAAAGCAAACCTGTCCTAAAATGAGGAAATACAATGCCAATCAAGAAACTGAATGCAAAACGATTAAGCCTTTGTTTCGCATTTTTAGCTCGCCTGCACTTTAGTGCAAGAGAGCTATTGCTATAGTCTTGGCGTCCGCGTCCGCGTCCCCGTCCCCGTCCCCGTCCCCGTCCCCGTCCCCGTCCCGTCCCCGTCCCCCCGTCCCCGTCCCCGTCCCCGTCCCCGTCCCCGTCCCCGTCCCCGTCCCCGTCCCCGTCCCCGTCCCCGTCCCCCCCCGTCCCCGTCCCCGTCCCCGTCCCCGTCCCCGTCCCCGTCCCGTCCCCGTCCCCGTCCCCGTCCCCGTCCCCGTCCCCGTCCCCGTCCCCGTCCCCGTCCCCGTCCCCGTCCCGTCCCCGTCCCCGTCCCCGTCCCCGTCCCGTCCCCGTCCCCGTCCCCGTCCCCGTCCCCGTCCCCGTCCCCGTCCCCGTCCCCGTCCCCTAATTAACTAACCTAATTTCCCCACAATTAACATTACTTAATGTCTGTCAGTCTCCAACATCTGGTCGTCTTTGCGGAAAAATTCTTGCAGAATAATTACTGGGTAGCGCTGTACTGAAAGGAAGAAATTCGCCGCCGCCGTTTACATTCCGCCTTTAACGCTATTGACGGTGAAATTTTAAGATAAAAATAGACTAAAAAAGACTTTTAGTTTTTTCAAGGACATAAAGAAAACAAAACGAATGTGTTTGTAAACAGTAGAAGAATGTCAAAAATGAAATCGTTTTTCCGGCATTGTCATTTTCAGATTTAAACGAATGTGATGCGGGGACTCACAACTGCCATCAGAATGCTCATTGTAACAATATTGATGGTTCTTTTAATTGTTCATGCAAAATTGGTTTCAGGGGAAATGGAACAGATTGTCAAGGTTAGGCCCTGACTGAAATCTTTCTCATGCTTGTTTATCGACAGATTTTCAATTGTTAAAGAAGATACTTTTTTGTTAAATTTTCTTTCAAGATTTCGACGAATGTGATGCAGGTTCTCACAATTGCCATCGTAACGCCTACTGCAATAATACTGACGGTTCTTTCAATTGTTCATGCAAAAATGGTTTCAGGGGAAATGGAACAGGCTGTCAAGGTTAGGCTTGAGTGTAGCAAAGGTTTTCCATAGTGCCACAGCTTTAAACATCGAAGGAAACTTCAATAGCATTGTCTAGTCATCGCAATTTTATTACAAAATATAGTTGCTAAAGCTTTGTTATGAATATAACTAGGAACATATAACGAACATAGGCGATGTATATGTGAATAATAGAAAATATCGGGAATTTTATCTTTTTTGCCAAAATTATTATTTCTAGATTTCGACGAATGTGATGCGGGGACTTACAACTGCCATCAGAATGCTCACTGTAACAATACTGTTGGTTCTTTTAATTGTTCATGCAAAATTGGTTTCAGGGGAAATGGAACAGACTGTAAAGGTTAGGCTTGAAATAGCATAATACAATAGTCTAACTTTCTAGCAATGGCTCAAAACTTCTGGAGCTGTATTAATGACGTTGCTCTATTAATTACCCCCGTATTTGGTAAATTCAGTAAGTTTTCTGAAAATTTCGGATTCAAAGCTTAATTTTTTCTTGATCTTTTTTCGACACAGAACGACATATTTTCGTAAATTTCATCAGTTCTGAATGTCCACGAATGTAACGTTAGAATACGAGATTGCCATTTCGATACTTTCTGCAAAAATACTAAAAACAAGTTTTCATTGTGCTTGGGAAAATATGGCCGCAGAGGTTATTATACCATTATGCCAGATTCCGTTTGAGAAGAACTGATATTTTTTTTGTTAACAGATCGCAATAACATGGAAAATGGCGGAAACGAATGGCAGGATTTATACACCATTTTAATCGTGTTGATAGTCTTTGTAGTTGTTCTTGTGTGTATTGTTGTGTTTTTTTATCGTCGGTCACTGAGAAAAAATATATCATTCAAAGATAAACCGGCGACAAACCTTTTTCCAAAGAAATCTCAAGACAAGTCATTTTGTGAAAACCTGGATTTAGCTGAGATGAATTCAGGGAAAAATAATGCTAACGAAGTGTAAAAGAAAACGTATATAGCATTCCTTACACAGTGAAACTACGAATAGTCGGGCACACAAGAATCGATATTTCACTGTAAAGACGGCGGGAAGGTATACAGAGTGTCTAAGACTAAGTTGATTGTAAGACCGATCTTAAAGGCCATGTTACAAGGTGAAATTTTTCTTGCAACTTGCAATGCAATTCTACTTTTATGAGATGTAAATTACTAAAGAGTTTTCAAAATGAAGTGTAAGACACACGATTTATGGAGTGTAAAAAAGGCAAAATCTCTCAAAGAAGAATTGAATTGCAAATTGGAGGAAAAAAGGTTTTGTTATTTATTGTTCTTGATTCGGCATGTCAAAAACCACGTATGAGATTCACTGATTCGTCGCTATTCACTAATATGTTATAATTTGTTGTAATTCGGTTTTCATATGTCAGATTTGGCATAAAAACGAATTACGACAATTGGATTATACGACGAAATATAAAAAATGAAACTTAAATTGTGTACATGAACAAGCAATAAGATTTTTGCAATGCTATAATAGCGTAATATTTAAGGCGATGAACACTCTTTGTTCTCAGGCCAGCTCAGCATTCGTGTTGAGGTACTAAACACTTCCGGACAGCGGAGTCCGCGTTAAGCATGCACTTCCGTCTTTAAAAATACGTAGAAAGAACGTTTCGATTTTGTTACATTTTAAATTTGGTAAATTAGTAAAATACTCGGTGAATTCTTGTAAAATAGATCTTTGCAGATTATCGACATTCGGTGAGACACTAACGTTTGTTATGTAAAATCTACGTGAACGTTTGTTATGTAAAATCTACGTGAACGTTTGTTATGTAAAATCTACCTGTACGTTTGTATGTAAAATCATGGTAATGTGTCATAGTTTGCGTATGATTAATGTATATCTTTATGTATTTGTATTCTGTTAGAATAAAACAAATCAACACAGTTTGTCACATTGGGCTCGATAACTAACATCGCATGTTCGCTAAGCGTATAGCGTCGGAGCACCTATACATAGACATAGTTTTATTCGAATGATCAGCCGCCGGTTTGGAGTTTTTGTCGAAGCACAAAGAGATTCTGTTGGTTTGCACCTGACATTCGTTTAATTAAGGACTGTATATTACAATTTTACAAAAAGATGCATCGCTGATTTAATGAAATATGGACTCAGACAATAGAAATACCAGATGGCGACGAAGGGATCGCGTGCAACAAGTTCTGACGAAAAGGTGTACTCCTCAAAGAGAACTAGGGCAGGTTGCTCGTGTGCGTGGTCAAATCGAATCTTTGTTAAAAGACCCAAACAATGCCGAGACTATTAGAGTACTTTCACAACAGTACGATAATTCATGGAAAAGGTTTGTTGTGGCTTATAACTATTATACGTCTATAATTAGCCTGCGCAGTCAGGAGTGCTACCATGCCATTCAACAATTTGATCAGTTATATCTCGACAAGGTCGCCTTCGTTCAGAAAATCTCAGATACCTGCTCGATGCTGCAACCTACTTTAATGAAATAATCATGGAGAATTCGCACTTGCAAAGAGAACATGTGTCACCATACGCCGAAAGCGTGGACTCTTATAGATCAAACGTTTCCAGAGGAACAAAATGTTCTTCAAGCTCAGCAGTCCTCGAAAAAAGAGCCCAAGCTGCGAAAGCAAATTTAGCCTTACGTTTAGCGGAACAAGAACAACGGCGAAAACTCGAAGGGGAAATAAAACTTTTGGAGATCGAATGGAAACATAAAGAGCTATTAAGGCAACAAAAAATGGAAAAGGAAGAGATTGAAAAACGCAAATATTGGAGACCCTAAAACAACAATCTGAAAAGAAACTGGCCGAAGCTTGACAAGGGGCAGCCCTCTTGGAATTAGAAGTCCAACTGGAAGAACAAACATGGAGAGATTAATATGAGCTTGGTCACGCAAGAAAAGGAGAACATTCTAGCCGAACCGGAGTTCACGGGCGATATCCCCAAACCCCTCGTATACGAATATTTCTTGTTCGGAGAGGAACCATTTTCAAACTTGAGTGAGAACACAGCTCATCCCACCAAGCCACTTCACTCAACGCCAGCTATACCAGCTTCACGTCTGTCGACGTCATGTCCGAACAGTGCAAGAGAAAATCAGTTGAAAATCATTAATCGATCGGCCACGTCAGTTCTAATGAACGCAACAAATATTTGACGTGCAACCAATATTAGCGACGACGCACCTATTCCCTCCCCAAACCAAAATTATCCTTACTACACTAAACCTAGCGATTTGTACCTACACTCGATGTCTACCTTCAACTACGGTATACCCCACCTGGCGTAACCCCAGCTCAGTTGACATCTGCTTCCAAAATTGTCGAGGAGCCATTAAGTTCAGATATATATGGCAAGCAACCAGTCTTCGAGGCAGAACACAGAACACCTCTATTTTTAAGCAAGCCAAGCTGTTCTCCCTAGGAGCCACCACAGAGATATGCTAGTGTAAACGACCTACAACAGGGAGACATCTGGACTATGGTAGCATCTGCTATGCAAGGCATTTCGTCAGTCCAACAGACAATAGCCTCCAATCAAAGCCTCCCTGCTATCAAACTTGACAAGTTCTCCGGCGTTCCCGAGGAATTTTCTCTTTTCAAGCAGAAATTTTAGCGGCGTATAATGGCCAGGCAAGACTTTGCTGATGGGGAGAAGATGATGGAGCAAGATGTTATTTCAATACGGACATGTCTCGCGTACGTTTAATCGAGCTGCACATGTTTAATGATGCAAGTGAGTTCGCATACGCCGCATCTGCCTAAATATGAATTGTCGACATTGTTGGGGTGATATCGTGTAGATTTAGCAAGGGAAAGTGCCGTAATTGCCCAATAAAGAAACCCACCATCCCACGACTGGAGCTTATGGCAAGCGTCCTAACTGTAAGGCAGAGTAATCTAATCAGAGCTGAATTGGATTGGAACGTTGATCATATCATCTTTTAGACCGACTCTACCACAGTTGAAAATAGGCGATTTCACCGCTTTGTGGCCACTCGTTTAAAAGAGATTCACGAACATACGACGCCAGAACAATGGCAACATGTCCCCGGAGCTCTAAACCCGGCCGACGATGGATCAAGGGGCTTGCCAATCGAAGCATTTCATTCAACGTGCCGTTGGTGGTCTGGACCCGCTTTCCTGAGCCAGACTGCAAATCACTGGCTGGTCGCAAGGGTATCCGAGGTCCCAGAGGACGATGAAGAGGTCGTGAGACCATGTATTGGTCATAACTCGTCGGCAGTCGTAATTGGTTCCCATTTGGTTCAACTGCTGAACGACGTATCGTCGTGGTCTAAACTGCAGAGATATATTTCTTGGCTAGTGCGGTTCGTGCGTCATCTACGAACCAAGCTAAATCACAAGTGGCCTCATTTCCCAAGGAAATAAGTTTAACAGAAATGAAGGAAGCGTCGACATCTATCGTGAAAGTAGTCCAAAGCCAATACTTCCAGGATGAACTCTGAGCTTTGAAATCTGGAAAGAAGATCAAGCAGATTGATGACTCTTTTGCCCGTACTCCTGCATGGACGACGTTATTTGTGTTGGTGGCCGTCTGAGTCCCGCATCTTTAACCCCATGATAGTGCCACATCAACATCACATCACCTCGTTAATTATTACATATTATTTAACAGTCATTGTGCGAACTCGAGTCGTATATGAGCTCATAGCTATTGGCCATATTATACGACGAGAGTAAGCAGAATAACTGTTTTATTATATACACAAACTTTGTCGCCTTTCGGTGCATTTTGGTGTGCTATTATCAACTAAAGCTTGGATTTCACTTTCACTCAACTCCCCAAATCTTTCGGCCATTTTGTTTACTTTCTCTACAAGATAGATATTAGCTAATATCTGTCTAGTAGCCAACCAATGAAATTGCAGCATACCTCATATCTGGCGCTTGTGTATATAATAACACTAAATATTAGGTCACGCCTGTCGAGAGCATGTACTGTCTGTGGTCCGTCAGCGTTGCTGGATCATTAACGCCCGTGTGTTGACTGGTCAGATCTTGCGTCGTTGCGTTACATACCGGAAGAGGAACGAAGCTCCAATGAATCAGATGATGGGCGACCTCCCCAAAGCCAGGCTCACTGCTTACGAACCCCCCTTTACGTATACCGGGTTGGAGCGGTACGGAGAAAGTGTATGGTTGTATTTTCGTCTGCATGCTTCAATACAAGAGCAATCCACAGTGAAGATGTCGGATCGTTGGAAGCAGACGATTTTATCCGACTTTGCGTCGTTTCGTCTGCACCCGTGGCGCCGCCAAAGAAATATGGAGCGATAATGGCACAAATTTCGTAGGTGGGGAGAAAGAG